CTCTAAATTTAGACATCAGGAGCAATTGCCCCCTTTGCACCTCCCTAGTTTCTGCCCCTGATTCCAAAAGCCTTATTTATTTTATCACTCATATCTTCGTTTTATATTCTTCAGGAGAGTTTAACGTCGAGAGTTTTATAAACTTCAGGAAGTTTCCACATTTTCAAATTGTGAATTTGATGATTCGTGATAAAATAAAAACTCTAGTGTGTCCACCCACATGACTTTCCTACCTATTTCAAAAAAGTTTTTATATCTTTACGTATGTCCATAAAGAAACGAAAAAAATTGAATTAGATTTATTTTCCTGACAATTGATCAAAGAAAAGATTTGAGTACGATTTATTTGATAAACTAAGCAATGTAAACCGGCTTAAGGTAGATCAGTGCAAAAATTTCAATACCCTACAAATTTTAATACAACGCTAATACTGTTCGATTCTGATGAATTTTTTTTTTTTTGTTGGTAATTTAATTATCTTTCAAAAGTTTTATAATAAATTTTACCATAGAATAAATACTTAGCGATTTAGGTCCCTAAACATTTTTCTTTTCTTTATTACTTTTTTCTAAATTTTTTCGGAAATTTAGTCCATATACGAAAATTGAAAGGACAATTATAAGAAAGTTTCATCAAGATCGTTAGAGCTATTTTCGCCCTACAGTCTATAGAAAAACATGTTTTTCTTTTATTGCGCATGGAGCATTTAATTTGTATCACAGGTATCAGTAGTCAAAACCATACAAAATAAAAAAAGAAGCAACAAAATCGGTTCACTAGTTCCCGAGAAAATCTTGGCACAGTCAGACAGGCTGAGCAATGGCTAAAATGTGTTTTCGGACTCAATGAGCTCTGAAACGTATAGATCTGTCGAAAACCGCATATCGAAAATTTGACCCGATCACAATACTTTCCTTACCTTAGTATAGGTATATGTAAATATTGATTGTTTTACGGAAGAGTATAAAATCTAAATATTTCTTTAAGATTTATTATTATAATTTCATATTTTATTTTCCTGTGTTATATCACATAGTAGCAGACTACAAACTGCCATCTTTAGCAAAAATAGAATCTGAATAGAAAAAATGTATATACGATCTTTTGCACTAACAGTAGCGTTATATATTTAATATTCTATGTTTTCACTCGTAAAATGGTTAGAACAAAAATCCATAGGAAAAATTCAACTTTTTGTTTGTTCGAAGTTAAGGAGGCCAATACTTTTCTTCAGTCAGAACAAATCTTATTAAGCTGGAATATAAAAATATGTGTGAAGTTCACCCAACTTTGATATTTAAGGAAGAAATCGATACAACGATGAACTGGTTGAAGCTCAATAGAAGTAAACACAGTCACAAATAAGAACTTTTTTTTTTTGAAACTCAGAGTAAAAATTAATTAAAATTTCCTAAAAATCACACGAAATTTAAGTAATGGTAGTAAGTGCCATACCAGCAACGTTTGAAATGGACCAAACAATACAGTATAAATTTACTTTTTGAATAAAACCTACAATTTTATAACTCCATAAAAATATTAATCTAACTTGCACTCCATATGATCAATGCCTTCCACATTTCACAGCAATTATACTATTAAAAATTATTTATGTTAATTTTTATTATTATAAAATAGAATTCAATGAAATTGATACTAGGTAATTTCTATACTATTCTTCAAGTTAGGGTCAAATCGAACGCGCAGTTTTTTAAATATGAGTGTGTCAAATAATACATTTCCTGATCTGAAAGGGGAAATAACTTTTCTTCTAGTAGTCGATAGAATTTGATAAAATTCATACGTGCTCGATTATCTGTTTACCAATCCCTAACTTTCCTCCAAATTCAAACCAAACCAAACGTGCGATTTTAGATACAGACATTTAAAAAAAAAACACGTCTACTCATATATAAGAGAAATTAGTGTACAGAATTCAATAAAATTGACGCTACATTAATTTTTTACCAATATCCACCTTTTATCCAACTTTAAGCCAAATCGAACTAGCCGTTTCTGAAATATTGGCATTTCTACAAAAACGCGTTTGCGCGTGTGTAAGCGCAAGTGCTATATGGGATTTGAAAAAATCGATATGGGAGCATCCAGACACCAACCCGCACAATCTCTGAAAATTTCATGTACATTGGATAAACGGCAATAGGTGATGTGCCCGTTACAACGATACAAGACATACAGACTAACACTGAACCAAATTTGATCCTTAATGTTTGAAACGTAAAACACAAATGGAAGTTTCCGATTCTAAGTCTAACATTTTTTTTAATCTCTTGCACGAATGCAATGTTTCTCTACCTTCGGTAGTGAGGAAGCAAAAAATTTCTCGGCTTCTAGAGCCCATTGGAACGAAAGTCGGAATATGTGTCCAATATTTTTCGATGCAATATTATGGAAACAAAATTGGTTGAAATCGGTAACCTAATGACTGCGGCCTCCTCTTGTTAGTGAGTTTTTGCTGTGAACCGACGATATATTGCTATATTTTCTTAATTGCTTCTTATCATGAGCTTTAAGTTACAGATATTTAGAAGATGTTTAACATTTATATGTTTATTACTATATTATGAGATGAGATTCGGCTGGATTTATTTCATTTCCCTTTCCTCATTATTATTACTTTTTTCTTAACTAATTACTCTATTATAATTAATTTGTAAGTTAATTATACTTTGTAATAGCTATAATCCAAAAAGTCTATACTGTAAATAAATCTGTTCATAATTGTGCTTTCATTCGGTTTGTTTTATTTGCTCAAATATATATTACTATTCTTATTTTATACGGGGTTATCTTGAGTTATCTATCTTACCACAGCAATAATAAACTGGTTAATTAGAATTTGGACTACAAAATCTTTTAGTTAAATTTTTTGTTACATCTTGTTAATGTGACTGAAAATTAGATATATTTAAAATGTATCAGCGGCAATAACAGCTTCTGATTTTTCATATACATTATGTGTAATTGATTTTTTTAAAAAAAATCAGCCGTGTTCAATGAAATCTACTTATCTATTTTTATTAATGAATTAGACTTCGGTAATGGTTGTGAACAAAATAATGAAAGCTTTTTTTAATAAATCTCGCGTTCTTACCCAATTTTATTATTATTTTCAATAATCAACCTTTGTAATCGACCAAGAAAAAAAAAGTTAACCCCTCTCAAAATTTGAGGTTTTTAGAGGGATTAACTGAGGGTTTTGAGAGGGATTTAATTCTATGAGGCAAGCTACATAGAATCCGACAATCGAATAAAAAAAAAAAAAAAAATCGTCCGATTATGTCAAAAGGTACTCGAGGATGATCCTTGGAACTCGGCGTAACTATCCGCCCTTTCCTTTCAAGATGGCGGCCAAAAAATCCTGTGTCGCCATAGATTGTAGTGCCTAAACTAATGTACCGATATTAATTAAACTTAGCCAAAGTCTCTTCCTCGAAGCCCTTTAAATTTATCTATATAACATACTTCACCGAAAAGAAGCTGAAAAAAAAATTACAATGGGTGATAAAATTAGATTTATGAATAATTAAAAAATGATGTGCTTTTTTTTTATGTTGGATTGGACGTTAAAAAGTTAATGAGTTTCCTAAAAAAAAATAACATCGTTGAAACCGCTCAATTTTGGCGCAAAGTTATATTATTCGAAATATTTTCCACACGTTCTGCTGCAATTTATTCTTTTTTACTTTCCTATCTATACTGGGTAAGGAAAGTATTGCAATCGGGGGGGGGGGGGGAGGGAAAAGGGGGGGTCAAATTTCCGACATGCGGTTTTCGACGGATATATATGTTTCACAGCCCCCTGAGTCCGAAAAACACATTTTTAGCCATTGGTCTGTCAGTCTATGCCAAGATTTTCTCGGGAACTACTGAACTGACTACTGATGCCTGTGACAGAAATTCGTTGCTGCATGCGCAATAGCTTGTGCGCAATAAATGAAAAACTTGTTTTTCTATAGACTGGAGCGCGAAAACGGCTCTAACGATTTTGATGAAACTTTTCTATGATATTCTAATCATTGTCCTTTCAATTTTAGTATATAGAATAAATCCCCGAAAAAAATCAGAAAAAAAGTAATGTAAGGTAATGAAATTCCCTACAAAGCCATATAAAAATCGTTCATTTTGGACAACTATTAACGAAGTTACAGCTATTCAATTTCCAATGAAATATTACGAGTTCATTTCCTGGTGTCAGAAAGAGGTGAATGAGAGAATAATGATGATTAAGTGAAAGTAAGAAAATCTGTTGCCCGCATCACACAATCTTCACTATTTCCTCTACCTTTAACAGAAATTATTGTTTGACAATACTAAGCTATGGCAAAAAGTTTTTGATCAGCAATATTAGTGAGTATTGAAAATTTTACACTGATCTACCTTAAGCCTGTTTCATTGCTTTAGTTTATCAAATAAACCGAACTCAAATCTTTTGTTTGATCAATTTTTAGGAAAATTAATTTAGTACAATTCCTTTTTGTTTCTTCATGAACATATGTAAAGATATAAAAACTTTGCTGAAATAGGTAGGAAAGTCGTATGAGTGGACACACCAGATATATTTTTTTTTTTTTTTGAAAATTCTTACATCACCTGAAGCAATCGAGATTGTTTGTCTATATTTCTTAGTAAATTACTAATGATGAAAACAAAAATATTTACGCTTATATTAGGAATCATCTTTAGGTTATTTTCTTCTATGTGACAAGGGAAGTAGTGTTACGTATGATGTGTAACTATTTGGAAATAATCAACCGCTGCGTAATGAAAAATAGGGTCTTTTAATTAGTGTGCCTACTATTTATAGCGATTGTTTTTCTCTCTAAATGTTTGTTGGTCCGATTTCTATTGATTACTACCTAATGTCGTTTATTTTATATTTAAAAACTGTTGCACTTATGCAGAAAAAGGTCATCAAAATAGAAGTTAATTGGGACTGGATTATTTCGATCGGAGAGGTGTTGTGGCCGACGTCGGCATGGCAACGGCGTCACTGAAATCCAGCTCAGAGTGGAACATGTTGCCTCTGTTGGCTCTGTTGGATCTCTTGTACTGTAGCCAGGTCAGTGCCAATCTCTAACAACAATTGTCACAGCTCTATCGGCTCCGTCTTAACATTTGTATTTATTATCAATTTGTACCATTATTTTGTAGTTATCCATCCACAGGCCTCTTCTAAAAATATGCTATGGAATATTTTCGACGATAAAAAGAATATGACAACAGTGGCGTTGATTAATTTATATCCCCCCCACGAAAATACATTACTTTAATTTTTTTTTTTTCTTGTTTATAGAACTTTTATCGATTCTTATGTTCTAAGATATACAGATGTTACTTCTAACTAACCTTCTGCATTAGTCTATAGACGTTCTCTTAAAAACAGATAAATTTCCTCGTTTCTCTCTTATAAATGACTACGTAGAATGAATCGAAATTCAGAATTGATTGTTTAATAGAGGATATATTTTAAATGCCAATTATTGTAAAACTAGAATTATTGAGTCATTTTTATACAGGTATCGATTTATACATATCCATCAAATATTGACTATGTGGTTCAATTTATCAGATGTAGACAACAATTTGACACAAAGTTTCCGAGCTCTTTGGTCAACCCACTATGGTTCTTCAGGATGGAATATTTTATCAACACATGACTTAAATAATATTTAAATGTATTTACTTTTAAGTGATTTTTCATGAATATCCAAATTTATCGATACAAAAACGGTATAAGTATATGAATATGATACAAATCCTCTAAAAAATCAAAAATGATTATTCAAACTCTACCATGTTCTGATTTGATTTTATGAAATGTCACTTAACGAATTTTTGCAATTACATTACGTGAAAAATTGAATGCGTGATTTTTGAAAAGTCTATGCTATAGCATCGTCTCTAGTGGAAAAAATATTTTATTCAGACAGTATACATTATTCCGATTTATTTGAAGGACATAAGATATTCTCCGTAGCTTATTTCAGTCCAGATAAGAAGTAATGATTTATAAATCAGTCTTAGATAGTTGTATATATTAGATCGTAAACACAGTCTAAACGTTATGTAATTTCATTTTTAAAAAACATTAAAAGATAAAATCCGTACTCCTAAAAATAAGGATTTCCTATCACTTCAATCCTACTACTGGCAAACAATACGGTGCCTCACCAATTTGTTGATCCTTTAAGAGAATTACTTTCGAGATTCACGTCAACGTTCCTAAATGTTTTAAGTCCAACCTATAAAGTCCATGAAGAACCGACTCTTTAAAGAAAATCTTTAAATTCATCTCTGGCGTCCCCAACGTTTTTTCTCTTGAGTACAAAATATAGTTACTAACACAGAATTGTTTGCGTTTTTCATTCTTGGATACGCTTGTGAATATGTTAATAAAAAAAATAGAATAATTTTAATTTACACAAAAGAATGTTTATATTCTAAACTTATTTTTGACTTGATTAACGATTAAGTAAGAAATAAATCATTCAATAAATATATGCACTAAACGAATTCAAAATAGGCACCTGATTCATATTGGATGAGAAAGATTTCACGAACCTTTAGAAATGTCTTATTGATGAATACCCCGAGTTTGTTTTTTATGTAGTACGACTTACTGATATTCATACATTTTATGAGTTTTAATTTAATAATTAATTCATATAATTTTATTATAGACTTTTTATTTTAATGGGGTTCCTCACTTTTTGTATTCTTATGGGAAAGGAATAAATGAATGGTACAGGGAAAGCAAGTTTAACTCCACTTTGGTTTATTATTTTCAATAATGAACCTTTATAATCGACCAAAAACTTTAAAAAGTTAACTCCTCTCAAAATTTGAGATTTTTTACATTTCTCGATACGTTGACCCAGAAAATCAAATAAAAATAATTTTGTCAGTCCACCGCTTTTCTACGAGACCACCAATTTTATTGATATTTGGAATAACCCGGCGATGATCATCCTACCGCGGAATAACCATCCGACCTTTTCTTTCAAGTTGGCGGCCGAAAAACACGTGTTGATATATAATGTAGCGCATAAACTAATGTACCAATTTTAATGAAACTTGGCCAAAATCTTTTCCTCGAATCCATTTAGATATATGTATACAGCGTATTTCACCGAAAAGTACATTCCTACCAGGATGGTGACTGTAGCGCCTAAACGGATGTACCGATTAGACGTAATTTGGCTGAAGTTTCCTCATGCGTAGTCCTTTAAAATTATCTTGTAACATACTTCGTAAAAAAAAACAATCTATGTGCCAGAACTGTGAGGAAGAACCTGCTAACTCGGGACCTTTTGGTTTAATAAAATCATCAAAAATACTAAACAAAATAGTGTTGCTACTCCTCTTCAGTTGTAAACATCACTTCTGCCTTTAAAACCGTCTGTTTCTGATTAAATATGAATTTCAATACTTTTATAAAATTGACAGGCCGATGAAATCGGTGATGAAGATAGCTACTAACTGATATAGGGATATCTCAATACATGAAAATGATGTTTAATTAAATAAATTAATAATTTTCGCAGAGAAAAACGATACAATGCACATTTTTGTGGGAAAACAATGTGTGTCCTGTTATTGGCTTCTTTACAAATATCACATAGAAATTAGGACCATGATGCAGAGTTTAAAAGGCACATGAAAGTGTTTCATTCGGATTCAAGTGGTGGTAGAAAACGAGTCTTGTCGTGTGGAACGAGGCTTAGGTATGAGACCTAAACAACTTGGAAACCAGAAAAAAAATCCGCCCTTCAAAATTTTGAAGTATTTAATATTTCCATTCAACTGACCATTGCAATGTAAATATTTTCCGGCCTTATCGAATTCTTATCATGTGGAATTGAGTTGAACTGAAAAACATTGATACTTTCTTTCACAATGTTCAAATTCCTCTTAAGTGTAGCTAGATATAATTTTATTTGAATTTTTTTTGTTTATCTTCAGTTTTCCTACAGTTGCTCCTGGTTATTATTAATCCTTTTGATTTTTTAGTCATACTAGGAAAGTACCTCCTGTTCACCTGATGGCGGACCAACTCCCATTTTACAAATTAAGTAGGTGTATAAAAGACATAAATTGTTAAAAAAGAGATTTGGTGAGAGTTAAAATAAACTCGCACGGCGGTGGGTCTCTGTGTGAATTCCACGTTGTGTGTAAAATAAAATATCGGTTACTAAAAACGTTTTTATATAATAGACAGATATATTGTTCTGTTTGTCATAAAAACGTTTGCAATAATGTTTTTTTGTTTTATGAAGATCAATATTTAATAATAATATCATAATATGTTAGGCAGTACGCTTAGTTATCTGAAAACTGGAAGAGGTACGCAGTGATATAAAATGTGGAACCCTTATTCCTAGAAATATTCTTAAAATTTTTTTGATTAGTTAAATGAGGAGAATGTATACATGGAATCGTAGTAGATCCCAAAGAGTAATTTAAGTTGGCGAAGAGATACCTGTGGCTGTAATAACAAGTATCACCGGCCTTATCTACATCATTACTAAATTGATCTAGCTAATGTAATTGCCCCTTCCAGTCACAGCTCTTTCTCATCGCCAAGGGGTTCCGCTTCAATTAAATTCACTTTGCATCCACCTAACCATTTTTACACGGATAGTATTCAAGCTAATGGATTAATTATTTTATTAATGTTAATGACAAAAAAATAACAAAATTAATAATAAAAATCTCGAATTAAAAAAAAATAATCTGAAAATGACAAACATTTACTTAAGTTATATAATTTAATCACATATTTAAAATTTAACTTTAGAAGATGATATACTTTCCCATCGAATATATCTATAATGTCCATAATGTCATTTATTATAATAATAATACGCTTCATAAAAGGACCTCGATGCCACCATACCTGAGACTGTTTTTATATGAACCCAACCAAAAAACTTCGAACTAACACGAGAGGAAATTCACATGGATGGAAATTAAATGTATTTTGTTGAATTATGATTTACCAATGGTGTTTTGATTTTACCTTCTAATTTCATTAGATAATTAGGTCTACTATCCGGAACAATTATATAATGTAATAATAAACTAGTAGTCTCAACATTTTACTGTTCTAGTTTCCAATTTGTTTTATGATAAAGGGACCAATTCTGTAAGTATGGTTACTTACTTGGAAATGTAATATATGTCATTCTAGGAAATTTAATTATTAAAGATTCTACTTCTAACCTGTCATGGCGAACGTGCGTCGTTAATGAACTTATTAATTTAGCACATCTTAGCAAACTCTAAGAAACTTTGAACATTTATTTATTGAATTTATTTTTATATAATTGATTTTCACCTGTTTCTTGTATGCACAAAAATATTAATTAGTTTATATTATTCCGTCATCTAATTGTAAACTTGTTCATAAATTTATTGCAAAATATTTTTTAGTACCTCTTCAACGTGACAATTTGACGTACTGAGGTAACTGCTCTATTTACCTTAAAGCCTCATTTTCATTCGTAGCATTGATCTATGCTTTATGATCGATAAAACCAAAGTATACTTAACAATACCCATAAAACATCTTTTCTAATTATTACATTTTTTTTGTGTTTCTGTTTTTACAGTGTTTAGGTATTGCCAACCAGCTAAAGCCTTATGGAGGGCATGGTCTTGTTTTCGGAAAGTATGGAGAATACCTACCTGAATGTGGGCCAGGAGAATACTTAAATTTGTAAGTTAAGTATGAATTTAAAACAGAACAATTCATTTTATTGTTCCATGTAGTTATTATTTCAATTAAATAACATGGATCGTCAATTCCCGAAGATAAAATGAATGGGTAAGAAATGGTTTTTGAACAACATTGCACCCAGAGGCGGTAAAGAGGGTTAGTTGTCTCCTTTTAAGGTGGACAAAATCAAAGATAAAACAATAAAAAATATGAATAATAAATAAAAACAAAATTCTAATGAATTTATTAACAGTCCCAAGCTACTGTTATTCATAAGTAAAATTTTAACATTTGAAAAGAATATAATTACGAAAAAAAATCCTACCTTCCTTAAATTAAAACCTCCTCATTTAAATAATTAATCCTCTTCTGGCTATGACCTTGTCCTTGAACAAGATATTTAAATCTCCCCTCAATAAAAACACAAAATAAAATAATCAAGGATCGAGACAGATTTTCTGACTCAGATTGGTCAATCCGGTATTTGAAAAATGGATTTTGCATGTTTCATCTAGAATTGGATAATCATTTAGGAAATTTGATTCATGCTTACAGTTCATTAATTGAAGTAAACAAATAATTTAAAGTTCTATCCTAATTACTAATTAACAAATTATTTTTGTAATCACTCATATGTTATTAAGGCGATTCTAATTCATAAACACAATACATATCTGAAAATGATACATTCAATTCTTTCAGACAGGACGTACCTATCTTAAAATTTACAAACTAGTAAATTCATAATTAATCTGCTGGTATGAATTTAAGATATTTAAGGAATTGAAATAATAATAAACTTGAGAAGAGAGTTAATTTAAGTTAAACACACAATAAAGAAAACCATACAAAAATAAAATGATATAACTAAATAAGCAGCAGAATATTAATGTGTATTAATGTATTCTATTACGAAATTTTAAATTTCTTTGGGACTGGAAGTAACTTTTATTTTAGGTTTAAAATAAAATATTATTCTACACAATTATCTGGAACTTTCCGTTTGGTAAGCTTGGACAAGTAATTAAAACAATAATAAAAAGTATTTAACAAGTATACCTAAACTTTAACTTTAAGTATACCTAAACTACATATTAGTAGTTTAATGTACAAATACTAACAAGGGACTGGTATAATCTACAAAGGACTGGTTACTATAGAACAACACTTATACCAAAAACTACTATTCTTTATCACTAATACTTACTCATTTAAATCACAAATAATTTGTAGTTTAAGCACTACTTACTATTTGTATATGAGTTAACTAAATAATTACTTTGTATATGAGTTAAATAGTAACATTTCTTGTTGCCGGTTTGATTCTTATGAAAACAAATAAATATAAAAAATAATTATAATACAGACCTAAAGGACTCAGCCAGAAAGATGGGATTAAATTATACTGGAATCAGTCGTTTACAACAGACCATATTGTGACTCACAACAGAACTGGCATTGTATTTATTAATTGATGGTAATATAAAGATGGCCGAGATTATAGATATTGCTGTTCCAAACGACGGAAACATTTACTCATTTTATGCAGACAAAAATCGGAAGTATCAAAGTCCAGAAGCAGAGTGGAAAAATCTACGTAAATATAATGAAATGATTGTTAATGGAGTTGTGTTCTACAGCAATGGCTACTGTGCACTAGCGGATCCAGAATTTAATTTTGGGGGGGCTTCAGCCCGAAACCTTTTTTTTTCATAAAAATAACGATAATTCCTTTGGAAAAACAGAAAGAAACTAACTACCTATATGAGATGGTGTTTAAGTTATTCCTAGTAATTACTTTTAAGTACTTTTAAATGTAATTACACGAACAATAATACTTTAAGAGGTATTTTTAAATTTTTTCCCCCATAAAACATGGTTATATTTTTCCATTTTGGGGGGGGGGGCTTCAGCCCGAAAGCCCCCCCCCCCGTAGATCCGCCCGTGCTACTGTGGAAGCTACTGACAGGCTGGGTCACGCATCTCACGTTATAAATGAAGCTCAGAAAGCTTTGCTGTTGAATACTACCGTAATCGTGAGAAACTTTCTCAATAATCATTCTCAAAAATCATAGAAAAAAAAGTAAAACATACCTGGGGTGGTTGGTGTGTTGATTCTTCCCCTTTCCCCCCCTAGGTAAACAAAAAACCTTTTTTGAAAATGTTGACAATTAAAAAATAATAATAATAAACATTTATGCTTAACTGACGTGACCAGAAGCAGTTGACACGGAAACCTCCTTCGTAGGTAAGGTCAAGGAGGTATGTAGTCCACTACCTCATTTGAATTGCAAACAGAGATTGCGTTATGCATTCTAATCTAATCGTAACACTACAACTATTACATGCAAAACTTACGTATACTACTCAACCTAAACACCACGCCGCGAATTCTCACTAATGCAACCTATCAAGACAACATAACTTACAATTAACAATCCATTTAAATGTCTTATTCTAATTAAGGTCCCTCTCAAAATATTTAATAATGACATATAAAATGAATTTTATACCGACTACAGTCCTCTATGAATACAACAGAGTTACACAATAATTACATCAGACCATCTTCTCAGATGACATAATCTATAACAGTGATGGCCTAAATAACGTTAATTGTATTCAAAATATTGACAAAACCCGTAAATCTTCCTAAATACATTCTATTATATTAGCAATTTAGATGGAGTATGGTGGAACAGGAGTTGTTGAAAGGATTTGTGGACGAGGATGACATAAGGATTAATTAGCTAGATCCAAAGGAGTACGCTATGAAAGTACCTGAATTTACTAAGGGAAGTAGATTTATGGGAGGGGATATGTAAATCTATTTGTTGAGAACTGGTATTGAGGGATTGGATAGAGGAACTTAGTTTAAGGAGATCCTGGATGTAGGGAGGGTTTTTGGTTCTGAAGACTTGGATAATCTCATTTATAGCCTGACAGATAATCCTGCATAAACCAAGCAGCCGTAGTCGAAGTGGAGGAATATAAGGGAGGTTACAAGGAGATGTCTGGTTTTTAGAGGAATACAATAACGGGATCTTGGATTTTCGGGTAATCTGGGTCATATGGTTATTCCAATAGAGGTTCTGGTCAAAGGTTACTCCTAGATTTTTGACTATAGAGGAAAAATGGATGGGACGGTTATTAAGGTTAAGTAGAGGAAAGTAAGGAAGGGAGCTGATGAGATGTCTGGGCCCGAAGAGAATAGCCTGAGTTGTATCTGCATTCAGTTTTCAATAATTTATTTCAGCCCATCTGTTGATGCAGTCGATATCCTCTTGTAGCTTTCGCGTAGCCTCAGGCATCTTAGAGAGGTGGAATGATTTGTAAATCTGGAAATCATCAGCATGTAGGTGGTAACGGAAGTGTTGAATGGCATCAAGAAGGTGACTAATATAAACAATCAAGTGCGAAATTCATTTTTGCCTTTAATCCTTTAATCCACCTTAATCATGTTTTATGATGCTTAATGAAGAATTATTTTAAAAAGTAAAATGAGTGTATTAATTTTTTTTGGGTTAATTGTTTAAAATTTCATTATTATGATTTTTTATCCAGATGCGGTGAATGCGTATCTGGAAAGACAGAAAAGGAAGATGGATATGGGAAGGATTCTTGTGGAATATGTGGTGGTCTGGAGACATGCAAGGTGCAGTGTTCAGATCCCATGGATATTCTTGATGAAGAGGAAGAATCGAATGGTATATAATTTCTCAACAGAAATTTACAAAATATAAAACATTTTTAATTTATTTTATAAGCTTTACAATTAAAATATTAAAATAGAACAATTATATGCTCATATGATATTTCTGAGGCACAGACAAATAATCTATTGGTCATTTGACTTGGCTTTTCGCGTTCATTAGATATTGGTAGAACAATATTTGCGTGATATAGAGTTCTTTACTTGATAACGATTATCTTGATGTGAGATAAATAAATTAAAAATGTCACGCAACATGTAACTTGCAACATATACCTTGGATAACTTTCATAAAAACATGTAAACATGCTTCAATCTTCTTGACATTTAATACATTAATGATTACTTATATTTGGCGAGTGCTAGAAATTCAACCATAATCAGTAATGAAAATTTGAGGACAGCATATACGAGTTTACTTATTTTCAATTTTTTTTCATACTACTTATTCCTATATTCGTTCATTGTATATGTGAGAACATATACAGCTTTTTTTCTCGCAAGAGTGCAAAGCGACACATTTTTTCGGCGGCCATTTCAAAATGAAAGGCCGGATGGTAATGAAATGTATACAAAAATACTCCTGAATCCATTTCAATCGTTGTATCAAAATTTCAAAGGTATAGATGAACAACTTTCGGAGATTAGCGCCTTTGAACAAACGAACATTTAAAGTTATATTTATTTCCAGTATATCTAATCGTGTTTTATTAATAACACTAAAGCTCGTCTATAGCTAATAAACAAAAAAAAATCCGTTGAAAAAATAATGTGAAAAAGGTAATAAACTGTTTTGTCTTTACCCGTTTTTATAATTATATTCGTTGAGCTTTTTCATAATTTTAGAAAATAAATTTAACTAGTTTTTATTTTTTTACCGCTGAATAAACCCTCTCTCTCTCTCTCTCTCTATATATATATATATTTATATATATATATATATATATATATATATATATATATATATATATATATATATATATATATACATATATACACTAAGAGCTTCCTTGTTAACAAATACAATATTAAGAAGTGAGTGTCTCATTAATTTAGTTAGAACCAATGATTTTTTTTTTTATATTGAAGGTTGCCTCAAGTTTATATCCATGTCACCAAATGTACTGGACATTGCCGAATCTGCTAGTGGTTCAGTCTGTATTTTCGGTGACGGCATCAACAAGGAGACAGTTGTGGATTGCAATCTTAGCAAGGACGACGAAAGCGTTGTAAGGAATTTTATGTTTTATTTTCTCTATATCTTTTTTCCACCCCCCCCTTATGCTCTTACTAAATTTAGTTTTTTGCGGCCGACTCAAAAGTGGTTGCCTCGACATTTTGGGATTCATGCCAAAATTATTTCGACTCATGTTTTTATGCTGATCCACTAAACGAATGTTGACCTTCCCATTTCGGCTAGAGTGGGTAGATAATATAAGCTTTGGGGGTGGATATATGATATATGGTATAGTATATATCACTTATCTCCAAACTTATTGGCGAAATTGAGACCTCGACTAACTCCCGCGAGCCTTGGCTTATGATGAAAAAAAAATCTTGTTCTATAAATGACACTTCAGCTTTAAAATGAACAACCTCTCTCTCTCTCTCTCTCCCACCCCTCCTCCAACAAATGAGAAAAAAACAGCAATAAATTTAGTAACCTCGTGCGTGAGTAATTTTATAAATTTCATATTTTTAAATAAGTTTTAAAGTTTGGCCATGTGATTAAAAACCGTTACCGAGCGGATTCCGGCCCGCGGGGCTTAGTTTGGTGACCCCTGATGTATATGATTGAGATTACAGATTTCAAATAATAATAAACGCTTCATTTTAAGCTAAAAGCTTGAAATAGTACTGCGTTTGGGAGATATGGTGGAGACTAGGGGGTGTGATCTATGACGTGGTGGTCGTATTTGGCTGCCTAACATCTCTTACCTCTACTGTGTAATCATGCATTAAGAAGACCCCTGAAGAAGACCTGCAAAGTCGGGTCGAAACGTTGGCTTTAAATAAAACAGTTTTATTACTATTTTAGTCTATTTATGACCGCCACCCCGGACCATCTCCTTAATCAATAATAATGTAAAAAGTGATCATATTGCGATTATTTAAGTATTAAGTTTAGATCACTAACAAAATAAATATAGACCAATGAAAAAAATAATTATATTTCCATTTTGGAGAATGGGGAATTCAACCAGAAAACTCCTCGCTCCTTTGTAGATCCGACAACGGTATACCATACCATATATTTGGTATAATATACCAAACGGTGTGATCTGGGTGCTGTCAAGATATGTCGTTGCCGAGTCTCCACCATCCACTTCTCTTTAATAATAATTATCTTAAATATTTTGCTCTTCAAACATGCCTAAAACAAAAAACAAAAAAATGGGACTTTTTGCGTTTTTATTGTTATGACCTAATCTTCAACGACGAATAAAAATTTAAAATTCATAGAAGTACCTAATTGCCATTTTTCTAGAACATAATGTTATACAGAAGCTACTATTAAATGTATAGTGTGGACTTCGCAATGTAGGATTAGTGAATCAGTGGTAACCTCTTGGCTGCCGAGCTCAATTCGTCGTCAGGGTGTACTGTTAATATTATAGTAATATCCTTCTTCACCGAACTTGCTATTAATCTTGCCTCCATGATCTTTTATCGTTATTCCCCTACTTTGCGGTAAAAAACTACTTCTATATCACACTATTTTGTTCCATGTTGTAGATACCAATGAAGACCCAAGTATTGGAGGACAAAATTGAGTTGACATTTCCTTTGCCAAATAAAGAGGGTAATTACGATTTACATTGCAACACTTCTTCAGGCGCAGAGTTTAAGGAGACATTAATAGTTGTAAACACAAACAACCTACTGCCAACAGCTGTCGATAGTTCAACTCTTACAACTTGGAAAGAAAATAAGGTACATTTGATCACATAAACCTAATATAATATTATTAGGTTGGAATTGTAAAATAATAATATAATTAAATATTACTACTTTGTAGTATTTATATTTTTCTTTACTTTCACTTCTCCATGAATAAATTATGTAGTAAGAAAAATATTACGATCCTGATAATTGTCGAATTCCAGTTTTATTTTTATTTTTTTAGAGCATTACAAAAAATAGTTCCATATATCCATCTATTTCGGAGATCCAACTAGGTGCTAAGTTTTGGCCTCCTATATCAGGTCCTTCCTAATATCGCTGGTGTATGTTAACGTCATCCAGTTCCTGATAACCAGTTTTGGTCTCCTCCTTCTTTTAATCTCGCGGAGAGGTTCAGTCAGAGCTATCTCTGGGAATGTCTCGCCAACATGGTCAGCCCATCGCAATCTTTCAAGCTTCAGCTTCATTCTCAGGATCTCTTCTTAAAACAAAAATCGTGTATATTTCATTGTTCCTCCTCCTTCTCAAGTATCCATCGATATGAACCTCTTCAAAAATTCTTCGAAGAATTTTACTCTTAAAGATTAGGGGGAGGCCTTCCTCAATTCTTTTACATTTCGTCCAAGTTCCCGAGTTATACAACAGGACTGGGCGGAACAATGTCTTATACAGATGAAGCTTGCTTGCCGAGAAACAAGGCGAGTGGTGAATTATTTGCGGAAGCCAAAGTAATACTTGTTGGCCATAAATATTCTACTCTCAACCTCAGGTGCATTATCTTGAGTCACCAGTGATTCTAAATACGTGAACTGAGCCACTTTCTGAAAGTTTAAGGGGCCAATATTGATGGTCTCACCAGGTCGGGGGCTTCTCCTGTGGCCAAGTAATTAGTTTTGCCTTCGTTCACCTCTAGCCCAAGTGCTCTGGCGGATTCCAACGGAGCTAAAATCCCTTACACCCCGCGATGTCCGCGTAGACTAACAGCTGGACCATCCGCTTATTAACAGTCCTGTTAGTTTGCAGACCAGAATCCCTCACTCCCTTCCCAAGTGCCAGTTGTTGATGTGTGTAGGATGTAGGGTACAGATACTTGTATCTTGAAACATGTTTTTAACAGTTATGCCCGTCCATACCTTTTTGAGCTCTGAATAAAAAATGGAAGAGACATTTTCTGTCGGTGTTCATCCTGCTCTCATCATTATAGCTATGCTTGCCAAAATAACAAACAAAATAATGTCGTGTCAGCTGAATCTTTTTATAAAACCGAAAAGTCATGGTGAGAAGTTGCTATAGAAATTACTTTTAAACGATGAAAGATTAGATTACAAAAATATCATATTAGGTCAGATTTTGAAGAGATTTTATTTTTTATAGCTCCTAAAATCATCAAAACAAATACCAAATACCCTATTACTATTCCACCATCAATAAGATTGCTAGTTTTAATTACTACATTATAAAAAGCAGAATATATGTAAATAATAAATAATAATAATAATTAGCGATTTGATTAAATTTTGCTTTTTTTTTTTTGCCAATCATTGACAAAATGCCGTACACACTAGATGATGTTTTCCATTTGAAATGGGCTACTGAGATACCATCAACGTAGCCAAAGTTCTTTGATGTGGTGGAATCCGATGTTGACCTGTATTATGCCATGTTGCTTGTTGACAGGATACACGGCGGCAACACAATATCGACATGTTGTCCAACATTGTGTACTTGTACGCACCTAATAGGACTAAAACTGTACATACAAATGAAAATAAATTTTATTTCTAACTTTTTTTTTTAAATAATTTATATATTTTCATGATATTGTTGACGATTATAAGTACGATGTCTAGAGGTACTTTACTTTCCTTTTTTATTAATTTAAAAAATGTAATATTTAAAATTATTTATAAATTTTGATGGTTTAGATGACGCTAACCGTAAGCAAGATGTCTGGTCCAGTGGACGTGCTCTGCTTCGCTAGGACCTCCTCTGGCAGCCTGCTCTTCAGCGAGTGGACATCAGAGGTGGAAGGGAACAGCCTATCTTCGAAGGTGAAGTGTCCTCCTTTCGTTCCTGTGGAACCTCAACAATTGGAATTCGGTGTGGCCTATAGTATGGAAGGGATGTGGGTATTATTTCTGATAAGAAATTATTTCGTTTGAAGCCTAATTATTACATGACTGGACCAATATGAATATATATAGCGTGAGTTGGGAGGAATGGGCAAAACCCCAGGAGTGGATTGCGTTTCAAATAATAATTGCGTTCCACCTTTCACAAATAAAGAATATTTCAACCATTTATTATCATTTCGGTTTACGAAGTGTTATTTTAATTTTTTTTTTTAAATACCACCATTGACTTCTAAACATTTTCAGCTTCGTTTTCCAAAGGCGACAGTTGCCTTCATGAATCTTTCTTATCTTCATTTAATGACGCCTGTAGCATTTTTCATACGTTGAATCAGTGCATCCCAAGTGTCTACTTTTACATTGTATACTTTGAGCTTCGTCATGCTGAAAGTAAATTTTCGTTCTGATGTGAAATTTTTGTTTTTATTATTTTCCTACATGCAATTCACTCTAGGATTTTGGCTCATTGGTCCCAACTGCGTCATAATGGCTGGATGAAAAATTAGCAAATACGTCAAATATACCACGCCATTTCAAGGAGGAATAGAGTTTGAGATATAAGTATATTATAAGGATTAAGTAATCCAATGTCATAATTCGAGATAACACCCATCATCAAGATAACAAAAATTCAGCAAGTCATCTTAAAACTATCTCTCTTTTTCAATTATAAGTAACATAATATAATTGTTTTGTTGAATAGGATGAAAAAAATAAATAAAAAATTATGTTTTACACAGATAAAATATGTCAATAAGTGTTTACTGAATTGTTCTGCAACGTAGAAATAACGAATTTCACTTTTATCAATGTTTTTAACCCTTCTTGAATTATTTTTTCTGATAGAAATGGTAGATACCTTAACTTGAACGTTTCTTCAATTGTTATCTACAACAAACTTCGTTGATTTTAATAATTGTTATTTTTTTTTTTTAAAGTCCCAATAAACTTTAGAAAAAAATCATTTCAGTTGTATAAAAGTATATAAATTATCCATTATTACATGCTTAAAATGACTAATAAAACTAAAAATTTAACAAATTCTAAATAAATTCTCAGTAAATCAAAAGTTTAAAAATTCAAATATTCATTCAAATTTCATGTAGAGTATAACTAAATAAAACTTAAAAAAAAAAACAATCTTTTGGTTTGTTAGATTATTTCATATCCTAAATAATCCTTGATTTAATCCTGTTGTAGAGTATTAAGACTTTTTTCTGCTCACAGAGTGGGTTCTATAAATGTTGTAATCAATTATATAGAACGAATAAAAAATTATTTTAATCTTTTCTGGGTCAGGTTTGGAAGATAATAAACTAATTGCAAAATAACCTCATTTTAATAATAATCATAGTATATTATTTTCAATAATTAACCTTTCTAATCGATCAGAAAAAAAATTAATTCCTCTCCTCCAAAATTCGAGTTTTAATGTTTCAAAGCGTGTTGCATATGTTATAATTTGTTTTAGTTTGTTGTAACTAAACTTTTCAGCTACGGAAGCGCTGGAGATTGTAATTTGAATAATAATCTAACAGTCAATATTTATGAGCAAAAAATAAATAAATCTTAAGTTGTTCGATATTTTTCACCCGAATAAACGAAGCGAAACGACGAGGGTTATGTGTTCGAGTTGTCAGCTAAAAGATATGTAACGCTTTTGAGCAAATAGCTGGATCGATTTCTAGCTTTGAAGGTTCAAATTATTTCCTCGGAGTGTTTTAAAACAATTTGAGTTAAAAATAAGGAACCACGATTAAATAAAACGGGTTTAATCAATTTTCAAAAAGCTTTGTAACGCTGTTATGAGCGAACGGCTGGATCGATTTTTTAAGTTAGATGACTCAAATTATTAGGTGACATCCCCTGAGTGCTTTGAAACAATTTGAGTTAAAACTACTGACCCGCGGTTGAATAAAATGTGTATAATCGATTTACTACGAGGTATGTAACCATTTTCCGAGTGTACGCCTGGAACGATTTTTATGTTTGATATTTTAAATTATTCGGCGAGTATTTTATAATAATTTTGGATCAAAATTGTGGAAAATTACTGTATAAAGTGTGTTTAATTAATCCACCAAAAGGTAGGTAATGTTTTTTTGAGGATGGCATAATCGGTTTTTAAATTTGATTGGGCTGTAATTATTCAGCCCGTACTCAGCCGTTTAAATCCGTTAATGTTTTGAAACAATTTGAGCTCAAAATACTGACAAAAAAATTATTATAGTTTAAGTATTTCGATCATAAATTTATTTAAAATGATATCATGTGGACATAAGGTCGGCATCAAGTTAAAGTAACGAATGTGAAAAATCACACCCACAAAAATCAGTTTCTTCCATTTACAATAGTAACCCATGACCACATTGTGGCAAAATGTCGAATCTGAACGGCAACCAGAAAACCGAAATCAGTGATGTCACTATTACGAATTTTTAGCATTGTTAGATATTTACATATTGTCATAACGAATACTCATAATCGAAAGTTTACATTGGGCAAATTCACATTCGTTACTTTATCACGGTTGCGGCGATATGTCATGAAAACGAAATGTTAATATTTTAAAACTTAAAATGTAGAATTAAAATACATTTAAATACAAAAAAAAAAAAAAAAAAAAAAACGAATACACAAATTGGGAAATTCTATTCACAATAATGGACTTTCATGTCTATATGAACATCTTGGTAGATAGATGGAGAAATTAAAAATTACAAATATTTAAACTGGGTGTAGTAGGAGGGTGCCTAACACATCCTGAATGAAACTCAAGTCCTTTCTGATGCTAACATACATGTGACGAAATCTATTGGCCTGGTGCCGTAATCTGTAGTGATAGACACGTAGTTTAAATATTTCTAGTTATTAATTCCTCCATCGATCTACCAAGATGTTTATATAGGTATGGAGTCAATTCTCTTAGGGTGGATAGAATTTCATTTTATATATTGTAACAGACTGTAGAACCATCCGAACCCTCTTGTTTCAAACATTGCTTCCTCCTCTATCCCTGACAACCCTCCGAGGCGTCTGAAAAGAAGATGGCCTCGGGATCTTCTAATATAGAACTTCAATTTGAGTTCTACCAATGGATAGTTTCTCTTCATATTTTACATGTCATGTTCCCAATGTCACATTTACCTGTTGTATTTTTAATGTAATACAGTTGTAAATTTCATTAAAATTAAATAAAAAAAAATATATTGTATTTTTCCACAAAGTGATATGGAAAATAGAATAATGCGCTACACATACTTGATTTAAAACAATCTGGAAATTTTTATTTTCCTATACATCAGGATTACGTTGACAGTCCCGTCATACTTTTCTTTCTGTATAAACCCACTTGGATGTTGTTCTTTTAAATTTTTTTTAAAAAGCGTCTAAGCTTCAAACTTTCCTGATTTTTAAATTACTAATACCTTTCAGAAACACTGCTAAAACGATAAAAGTTATGGCTACTGCAGAAGCTCCGAGGCCAGTCAGTGCAATATTTACAACGGATGGGTCTAAAATCATAGTCAAGTTTGATCAAAACTTGGAAGAAGGAACAGAAGATTGTTCAAATTTATTCATCTCTGAAACAGTGCTGCTTATTGGCAATGGTACGTAATGTAGAAATTAATAAGAAGTAAAAAACAATTTTATCAAATTTGGTTTTGTATATCTCTAGTAACATTTCTTTTTAATGCTTAAACATTTTCGACATATAACTGTTTTTTTTTTAAAGAGATAATCAGATCAATTTCAGACATATTACTGCTTAAAGGTAGATGTTTAGATTGAGGGAAAAAATAAAGAAAACTAATATGTTTCGAGTTCAGAACTGCATGATTTTATTTACATAGCAGAAATAATACTATCTGAATAATTAGAGACAGAAAGATATTCGTGCCTATAAACGGCTATATCTATATACTTGTACCATTTCGGAATAACTTGTACATGAACATTATATGTAATAAAGTAATTGAATTAAAAAACGACTACGTTAATATTCCTATCTTATAACCCGATCCATCCTAAGGGACAGGGTATCCTTGCAAATCTACTCAACCACATTGGTGAGTCGTTAGTAAATTTGGGTACCTTCCACATCAAACTATACTGTATCCTTGTTCACCCTGTCCTCGCTAATTAAGTTATAATTGAAGAATTCGCCTTTTGTTTTCAACTTGTAAAGCCTAGAGTTTAAGTTGGTTAAGGGAGTAAAGTTGGTAACGAGTTGGCTTGCGGGTCCACGTACTATAAACCCCATCCCTGTTCGGAGTCATGACAACTACAATATAATGTATGATTCCTCTTTTTTTATAATTATCTTTCCCAGCCACCTGACTTCTTGAATTGCTGGTGTATCAATCCGGTAATTATCAAACTGTGAGAGGAGCGACTCTTCAAGTATAGAACGTTCCAAAAAGCTACGATTTCTAGGTCGTTTCCAAATTAACAGCTCGGCTTATTTTTAGAGGTTTTTTTGATAAACTGGGTGTAGCTTTAGAGGAATTGGGTCATCAGCCCTGCAACCCCCTCCGCGGCGGCTTTCTACGAGAGGTTGCCCTCGGATGTCCTTTGTCCGAAGTGTGGGTGTTTGTATAATTTGCTGTATACAGGGTACTGTGTGTGAATATCAGTGTACTGTTTCCCAAACCTGGAGGGCCAGTTTAAAGAGAAGTTTATGTAGAAAAATAGAATTTATGTATTATATTTACAAATTTATTAAAAAACAAAATTCTGTATCATACCGTATTATTCTTGTTACAGCATCTTTTTGCAAAATCACAGTCAACGAGGTTCATGTGTTCATGAGGACAACTTTATTGAAACCTATCACCAATGTTGAATTCAAAGAAGGTGCAGTAAAGACTAGATTCTCTGAATCAGGAGGAGGTGGAAGCGTGGAAGTTATCTCTGTGGACACAGTGGTGAGAATGTATTAAAAGGACTTTTTAAACCTCTATCCTTGAGGCATCAGGTTTAAGTAAAACAGGACTAAATAACAACTTCACAATATTATTCACGTCTATGTATATTAATACTGTTAAATATATTACCATTCGTGAAATCCATTATTTTTTACTTTTCATTTTTTATTTTTTATTTATTTTTTTTGGAAAATATTTCTTCTATTCTCATCATTAACAGAGCTCGTCTGAATTTTTTTTTTTTTTTCAATTCCTGTTCTCGACTCTTCTTCGAATCAGTTATTCTACTTCAGGAAAAATACTGAAATAAAATTCATCGATTTTTATATCCCTCTCCCCACTATTCAGAACAGTACTGTACTTTTGTAAGTAATAAAAGACTAATAATGTGACGTGCAGAAACGGCCAACAGACTTGGCACCTATAAAAACATAAAGTTGCTAATAGAAAACCCACGTATGACCAAATATTACATTAGTTTAACCTCAGTTATAGATTTGCTTAATATGTGACGTAGGTTGTATGTACTAATACAACGCAGATCGTACCTTCCGAATGTGAATTAGCTTTTTTACCCATGGCATTGAATTGTCAGCTAAAATTTTCACGTTATATGGATTACATTAGAATAAGGTTGTAGAAATTCTAACGAAACAAATTTGAAACTCATTGGTTTGAAAGCCATCAACAAGTTCCATTAAGCCTGCAGCATATTTGAAGTATTTGTTCTTATATTTTAGATCTGGGATGGAAGAACTTCATATTCGTTTTGTGGTTACCAAAAAATAAAGCATATGCAATTTGTAATTGGATTTCCATTCTATTTAGGGATAAATAAATTGTTAATGAAGTTTTACCGCCGTAGCAAACTACAGACCTGACAAACGATTTGTAAAGCTTCATCTTGGTAGCTCTAGATAGTAGTCGCGATTTGAGGAGATTTGCAAGACCGTAATATGCTCTATTTCCTACCATGATTCGTTTCCTGATCTCTTAACTCAAGTTGTTTTCACAATTGATGTTTACTTCAAGGTAAGTAAAGTGTTTAACTGCTTCAAACGAATAATCATTAAACTGGAAGCCGGCCAACGTTGTTGCTCCAAATGCAGACACCACCATGTACTTTGTCTTTGATTCGTTCATCTCTAGGCCAAAATTTTTACATTCGTGCACCAGTTCAGTGAGGACTTCCCTTGTAGCTCTTTCGCTTCTTCCAAGAACTACAAGGTCATCTGCATATCCGAGAATCATTGAGGTAAAGGTTACCAAACTTCCTCTTCGTTCAATTTTTTTAAGGCTTTGTGGAAAGCTATGTTAAACAGTAAGGTCGACAGAGCATCACCTTGTCGAACTCCATCGTTGAAATGAAATTCGTTGCTATTCTATTTTCAATAAGAACTTTCCCTCTTGAGTGGAACAACGTCATTTTAATTAAATAAATTAATTTTAAGAGAATACCAAACTCCTTTAAGGACGAAGTTAACTGGAATCTATCAAGACGATCGAATGCTTGTTTGAAGTCGATAAAGAGCAAATGTACATTTATGTTGCGCTCATAACATTTTTTCAATAAAAATTGGTGGGCAATAAAATATCTTTGGAGGGTGGGAGGTAGGTTTTTTAGCGCCATCGATCTTGGGGGGAGGGAGAGGAAGGAATGGATGGGCAACTCAACACACACAGACCATTTTGCGGGACTTAAAACGTTTTATTTCTGTTGAAAACTGGGATTCGAAAATTTCCACGATTGAAATACTTACCCTTACTATATATTATATATCTTGGTAAGTGAAAATAAAAAAAACTATAGTTAGATCTTAGAAGCCTGATATATGGTAATTTCGAAGATGACCGCTTATAGCCAAAAATTATACTACATAACACTTCGATAGTTCGGAAGGTATTATCAATTTGTATGCTTGCTGTTTTCAGAAGGATGGTGAGCTTACAGACAATAAGGTAGAGTGTAAGAAAGGACTGAAGTTGCAGGCAGCGACAACCCCCATGCAGACAGCGACTACTCCCATGCAGGCAGTGCCAACTCCTAAGTCAGCTAACTTCAACAGGAGCGATATTTCGACCGGCCAAAGGCAGAGGCTGAACCTCATGGCTTGGAGGTCTGCACGGGCGTCCACTTCCGCTCCAAAGGCTCGTTCCAATGCCACCGAGGTCAGTAGTCGAACTCACAATCCAATCGATTTAGATGATTCAAAAGTATCGATAGCAGAGTTCATGTATAATATTAATAATATTCTTTACCTTCATTTCTAAGTATGTGAGATATGATTAGATATTTTTTAAACATTAAAACAGTTTATTATTTTTCAAAATTAGCATCATCGCCCAACAAAAAATATACTAATGTTTTATCAAAAATTTTAGATAAAAGTAATTGTGAATTGTCAGAACAAATTATATCTGGTGTTTCTACGTCAAGCTAATTTTATTATCGGTTTATGTGCCAAGTCCAATAGACTTTAGAAGAATTCTGCTTTTCCTCCCTCTAGGATGTACCACATACGGAAATGTGAAGGACTATAAGCCCAGGCAGGCCAGAGATATTGTCCAATGGCTGAAAAAGCGTTTTGGTTTTAGAAGGCTCTTGAAGGAATGAATCCGTTAAAAAATTAAAACTTTGACCCACTTAAAATACTTTCCTTACCATGCGAACGTTTTTCCTTTACATTTTTTTTTTTTTTTGAAGCAAAAAAGAAAAAAATCATTCTACTAATTTTGTTTATACAATATTTGAATAAAATTAAACTAAACTCTGACTTTTGGATATCAATCCCAAAATTTTCAGTCCATAAATCATTTTGGGTATGATGGCTTCTTTTCGAGCTTCAATAGAAAGAATTCTTAGTCTTGAATTAACATTTTGTCTCGATATTACTAAGATGTTCTGTATCTTAGAAATACAAAAAACAGACCTTTGTACTAAAAGACGAAGAGGTTTCTAGTGAATACAGCCTTACAGTTACTGACGTAAAATACGGCGGGAATGTGGAAAAGGAGACGGGAAAAAAATACATAACTACTTGAGAATTATTTATTTTAAATTAACAAAATCTGATTCAATATTTAGCTTGAACAATAATTAAAGCAATATTAAAATCAGTGGGGCGAACATAAAAGAGGGGAGATCCAACCACTCACTAAAGAGACCATAGGGGAGGTGCATTTTTTTAGTAGGATGATAACTTGAATGCAAAATTATAACCTATATTGTTTTTTTCAATCAGATAACAATGTTTTTTTTATTTAAAAAATTGCTGTCTATTTTAAATTTTATCTATTTAATTATTTGTTTTTTAAGGGAGTCTCAATCCCAACAAACTGCTCCCAAATGTTCTGGGTGCCTCACTGATTACGAATGAAATTAAGCTTGATTCAAAAAATCAAAATAGAATCATTTATATAATTAAATTAGTTTATCAAAAAAGTTTTCATATTTATTTTATTTATTTATTTGGTTATATTTTAGGTGCCGTGTGCAACTTTATAGGTTAGAGGCACCATCTTGATTGTTGATTTACATTTCAATATGTCTTATGTATGTAAAATTTTGGATGTGTATGTTGTTAGTATTTTTGTTTAAAGAACGTGTTGTTACAACTGAATAGGTTATTTCTAATTTACGTTGTGAATTCGTTTATGAGGATGATATTGTTTAAATATGTCTGTAGTAATTCATATTTATTTTATACTTCTATCAAATTTTTTTTTAAAAATTTGATAGATACTTGTTTAGTTACTTAAGTAGTTAAAGCCACAGCTCATTAATTAAAATTATCAACAGAGATAACAATGAGAGCCAGTGATTTTATTTTTATTATTAGAAAAATTTCAAAAACGAGAAAAAACAACTAATGATAGAGTCAAATTTGTTGAATTAAAATATTAAATTCACAATTATAAATTTTGTTTCAAATTTCTATTCAAAACGCAATTGTTCTTCACTTTAATGTTGTTTAAATTTAAATGATATGTTTTTAGTAGTAGATTATGAAATTTACAAAAAAGATATTTTTGTATACTCTTGTGATTCAAAAAACTCCAGAAGGAACCGTAAAAATAGTTAATTACCTTCATATGATGTCAGCAGGAAATGGCCTCGCAAATCGGGGTCTCTACGAGGGAATGTTCGACCAGAACGGACAAAGTCTGTTGGAAAACGCTTGTCACGCTGTTGAATGGATGTTCCTGTAGAGATACATTCATCTTCTTATCCTCGGAATATAAGTCAATATGGAAGTAATTGCTTTCAAAAATGGGTTGTGAGTCCATCACTAGGCTACAGGAACGAGTAATAAGGGAACTGTTGAATCCTAAGTTCCAATGTACAACAGCATTTCCCGAAGAAACCGATGTACTTCCACCATAAAGAACGTAACTGGAATCAACTTTTGTCCTCAGACGGCCTTGGAACCTGAACGTGGACTCCTTTTCGCTGTAGAAGATGGCTCCTTGGCGAGACAGCTCTTCGACCCACAACTTCCCCTCCGACAGGACCAGCGAGAAGGGGGTATAGTCTGTTCCAAACCGCTGGCTGAAGGGCTCCGCAGCGGTGGAAAGGCTGTGCTCCTTGCCTACCAGCTGAAGGGAGGCCACCCTAAGTGCACCGTCAATCACATAGCCCTTGTCATTCGCAGTGGCGAGCACCCCGCCGAGCAGCAGCACAGGCACCCAGCCCGCCAGCATACCTGATCTAGCAGTGATGTGGTGCTCTCTATTATCTAATCAAGGGATCAGCATGTGATTACGAATCAATCCCGATGATAGCATAGCATAAATCTACTATATCTAATGTGAATTAATGCATGTCAATTTTATCTCTTTTTACCTAAAGTCAATGTTTGTCGAAACATAGGTTCTTGTTTTACACGTGATTCTTCAACTACTTATCAATGCAATAATTTACTGCGATAATTTATTTTAATCTGGAGCTAAAATATAGTGGATATGGGAACAGGTGAAATATTTTAAAGAAGAAAGACCTTAAGAATGGACAAGAGCTGATTAAAGGACGAGGGTACAGCTAACAGGTGATAAAATTATCCTCTAAATCAAGAGGATATTGAAAGAATCTAAGATAGACCAGCGTATTGCAAGAGCAAATAAAGCTTTCTTCACTCTTTCAAGGGTAATGAAATCTTGACAAACCTGTATAAATCTCAAGTTAAGCGCGTAGAATGCTATGATAAATGTCAGCGCTGCTATAGGGCTGCAAGACCTGGACTCTAACAAGTCCCCTAGAAAGAAGATTTGAGAGTAGAATATTCCAAACGATAACTGGAGTGATCTGGGATTACAGTATCCCATGGAGGAGAAAGAATTTCTAACAGAAACTGATTAATCAATATCTCAAAATATAAAGGCGAGGAACTAAAGTTTGGCAGAACATATGGCTTAAAACAATCTATCACGAAGTCTCTGAATAACAATAAATGCCACGATAATTAGTGAGAGGCCAAAGAGCAGATGAAAAGATAGAATTAGCTAATATACATCAGAGCTTCATGCAACTGCCTAATATGGGCAGATAGAAGTGGAGAAGGCTGGCTCAGGCGGCCAAAGATCTATAAGATCGGTAGAGCCAACAAATGAAAAACATAAAATACAAAATATCTTCATAATATCACGAATTATTTTTTAAAAATATATTTATTGTTTAATGTACATATAAAGTATTTTAAACTTTAAAGTATCCAAAATAAAGACTTTTCCGAGTCCGCAAGCTCCTTCAATCTGGCCCGCGAACATTTTTTCGATTACATGGTAAAATTTTATAAACTATTTAAAAATGTGAAATTTAGCATATTACTCACACACGAGGTTACTACATTTATTGCACGAGTTTTTGTTCTTAGAAAGCTCATTTCACAGAGTCAAGTGTCATTTATAGAACAATATTTTTGTTTTTCACCACAAGCCATGGCCTGCGGGGCTTGGTTGGAGGTTTCAATGCGGACCAAAAAGTTTGGAGATCTCTTTTTAATAGTCAATAAATAGAAAAACAACAATACAGACAAATTTAGATTAATATTAAATTTATATAACAGGTAATCTTATGGCTTGATTTTTCAAGTAAAGTTGGAATGTTATAGATGGAGAAGGGTATAGATAAGAGTGTTGACAATTCTGCGAATGAAAATTCATCGACGATGGCTCGCCAGGATTCTAACAAAGTCTGGTTGCAGCTAAAAGGACCGTCTTCTGTCGACGTGCAGAAATACGCTATCTTCCAGGCTGAGGTGCACTCCTGCGGGCCTTCTCTCGACTCAAGCAAGGTAAAGGAAGAACAACTCTTGCCGTAAAAGAGAATTTTTACTAATTTGTTGTAGATTATAAAAGCGCTATATAAAACTTAACATTGCTGTCTCACTGAATATTACCGAACCAATTGCCACTGTAAACAGGAGGCCATAAATTCCCAGTAGCGAATTTAGAAAGCATGATGCCCCTTGTGTTATTTCAGTCATTAAATATCATTATTTTCATTGGAGTTCTCTCATAAGAATTGTGAAAACATTAACATCGCAAATGACTACAATGCATAGTTATATTTCTCTTTCATTATGATTCCAATGTTTTGTAATACATGTTTTAAATATTAACTGGTAATAAAGTACAAGATGATTTGAATGTTGCAGTACAAGTGGTCAGTAACTAGTGAGAATGATATAATGGACACTTACTTTGCAAATGGTCCAAAACTTCAAGTGTCACCAGGAGCTCTTCTTCCCAACACCAAGTACAAGCTCTCTGTTCAAGCATTCCATGGAGAAATACTGATTGCGACTGTAAGTCCTACTGCTTTTGAATAATATTATGTGTATAATAATATTCCTAAGTTTAATTATTTTTATAGTAGTATATAAAATTTTTATATTATATTATAAATTAATATATAATATGTTATTATATTTTTTTTATTTTTGAGGAGATGATTAATCTATATTACTCTCTATCAAAAACGGAGTTGTTACAACTGTAATTAAAAGTAATTTTCTAAAAAATAAAAGAATGAAAAGACTTTTTCTAATTTACTTTTTGTTTTTTAATTTTCATTTCGTGAAATCAATGTGTAATTTAATTTTAGTAATCATTGGATGAGGCATTCATCCGATATTTCATAATTGGAACATTCAACTAAAACAAGATGTTGATCCAGAAGTGCAGATCTCCTCTCTCCCAAATAAGTTTTTCGTTTTTCTCTTCTCAAAAACTTTGCAATTGAAAGCTGAATTATAAAATATAGTTACACTTTCTGTGTTCCATTCTACATTGGTCCCTTGTTTGTTGTTGAAATCATATGGTTCTCTCCAAAAGTTCATAACCCCCATCAAAATTTACCTCTCTCAAAAATACAAAATCCTGTAAAAATATGCTTCCTCAAAACTTTTGATTATCCCACTTAACCATGGCTACCCCCTTCTGGTGATCATTGATATTATTATGCTAAAGAAATTATCTCTTAGTTTTAACTCTATACTACTGATAACTTTGATTCTTCTGGACTTAACTTTAAGCTATACATCTAAACATAAATTATTAAATTTGAGATATAGAAGTATATGTTTATGATAATTTGATATTGTTAATTTATAAACAATTTCTATGAAATTTACTGTGAATTTTTTTTCAAGCAAACAGTAGAAGTGGAAACCTACATTCAAAACTTGGACCTTCATCTTCAAGATGCAGAATTAATTGTTGGCAATGGACATGCCATTGACATTGATGCCTCTAGATTCATAGATGTGGAATCTAAAGCAATTAAGGTAGCCAGTTAGTGAACATTAAATGATTTTAATATCAATAAGCTTATTCTTTAATATCAAGGACATTTAATTTCAAAATCACACGAAATCACAAGCGGATCCAGAATTTAATTTTGATGGCTTCAGCCTGAAAGCTTTTTTTTTCATATATACATAACAACGATTAATTTGAAAAAAAAAAAACAAAGTTCTGGTGCACAAAAACGTAAGGTGCAATTTACTGCAGCTAATACAAAAAAAATCTGTAATAAAACCACAAAAATAATAGGTATTCTCCCAACCAGGCAGTTATAAAAAGTTATAGGGCTCACATATTTGTAAAAATAAGTGAATACCTTTCTGGAAGAATATATCTGTATGATGGAACAGAAAAAAAATGTCCAAAAGAATAAAATTTGAAAGAACAGGAGGAAGGAATCAGAGTAGGGTATAAATTAGTTGTTGTAAGAGGCAAAGTACTAAAATTATTAGTTAGTCTGAATAGCTAATATTAGGAAAACATTAGCCCTTTATAAAATTAATGTATATAGCCTACCAATTTTTTTTCATGAAGTTCACCCAAATTTCAGTTTTGGACATCAATCTTTTAGTGTTCTAAGGTACACACAGTTATTTATCTCAGTAATATTAATATTTTTCCAAATATGTATTAGATTCAGCTAGCTTTTATTACAGTAGAATGAAAATGATAAATATTTGTATTATCAACTTCTGAATATTGTATTAATGTCCTTTATATTTTTCCAGATTTTTCAATTTTTATTCTATTAGTAAACTTTCCAATCATTATTTTCATTTAACAGCTTCGGTGGACATGTAAGAAAGGCTTTTGCTATCTTCCTGGGAAAGACAAGAGACCATTGCATAGTCTTGAAGGATTAGCTCAACCTCATCTTAGATTACCTGCCAAGACATTGGCTATGGGGAGGCAAGTAGTAATGAATACAATTTACAATATTTTGTATCGAAGTGTTTTTTTAAACAAACATTATCAGACTGAATGTAAATTATAATTCAAATAATTAAATTTTGTTTCAAAATATAAGTTTAATAATAATATTAAACTCCATTCCCCAGCATTTTTAACAAGCAGAGTTCTGATTGTGTTCAAATACTTATGACAAATATATATGTTTTCGTATAATGAGAGTTTATCTTCTTTCGTATTCATTGGAATAAATTTAATAGTTTTATGAAATATATCCCAGAAATCTACTCCATTTGTAATTTTCATATCACCCGAGCATATAATGACGAACCAAAACTTTTAAATATTAGTTACAATCAGGAAAATCAAAGGGTTTATCAATTCTAAAAATGTATTTTAGATATTTATTCGCCTTAGAAGCATCCTCTGGAGGGACGATATTGGATGAAGCTGAGGTGGAAGTTGCAGTGGTCAGTGGTCAACCTCCTTATATCTCAGCACTTACTATCAAGGAAGATGAGGCAAGCTTCCACCTCCAAGCCCAGGTATCAGAAATACGCCAGAGATGCCAGCTTTTTTGGTCTGTCATACCTCGTGTTAGCTACTCTTATATTAACATATCTCAGGTAAGTAGTTTGTTGAACTTTTATGGTTGGTATTTTTTTATTTTTACAAATTTCAGATGTGGTCATATCATTGGCACCAGTAGTGGATGTGAAAAATCACATTTTTCAATTTTGGTCGTTTACCATGGTAGTCAATGAAAACTTTGTGGATACATATTGAATTTGAATGGCAACCAGAAGACCTGAATCAGTAATGTTATTTTTATGGATTTATAGCTTTGTTAGATTTTTAGCTACAAGTAGAATGCAGACCTGGGTGAAAAGTATTTTAAAATACATTATCTAAAATACAAATTATTTTGTTTTTCTAAAATACAATTTTAATCACCTAATATTTCAGTTACTACTTACTTTTAAATTACTTCACTTAATTATTTAATTTAAAGTTCAAATACAAAATACTTTTTCTATGAACAATTTAAATATTTGGTGATTAAAATTTTATTTTAAATAAAGTTTTTTAAAATACATTTTTGCCCAGGTCTGGTAGAAATGAATAATCAAAAATTAAAGTTTACCTTGGTCAAATTCGCATTCATTAGTTTAACATGGTGCCGATGATATGGTCATACAAAGCCTTGCAGGTCACCATATCTACTAATAAGACACCTGTTGCTTGTTAAAAAAAAAAAAAAAAAAAATATATATATATATATATGAGTGGAATAATATATATATATATATATATATATATATATATATATATATATATATATATATTATTCCACTACAACTGATGACTTCATATTGAAGGAATGGGCAGAGAAATAGGGAGTAAACAAATCAAGAAGATAAGAAGTTTTTTTTTGGTTGTAAAGATTCAGAAAACTAAAAAAACATGTAAGAAATATTGCTATTGAAAAACTGGATATAGCTACTTCAGCTCGGAATACCAACTGGAGATGTGGGAGCACCAAGGGAATCCACAAATGAATCTAATGAAACAATTCATAAGACTTTTCAATCTAATCTCAAGTCCACTAAACAGTCCACCGTGTACATGGTAGCCATAATCGAACTTGGGAAACTAGAAGCTGACGGGTTTTAAGGGGAATAGAATCACGAAATCTCAGGAACTGTATAAGAATAGTGATAGATTTTCTGATAATTTTGGAAACATGGTGATTGCTGAACAGGTGTTGATCAGACATTACCTCAAGGTTTCTAATGGACGTGTGGAAGTGAATAGATTGGCCCTGAGCAGAGTAGGGGATAATAAGGAATATAATTAAGAAGTTGCTTTGACCCAATGAGAATTTGAACAAGAAATTAGCTACCTAAGTTCCGCAATTATAATTTTATTCCAATTTTTGCAATTCGACACATTTTCAAATACCCCACTTTGGGATTACAATGATTATGTGCCATACCTAAGTCTGCCTTAAATAAGTTTATTATTGTGTTGTTATCTATGCATACTGTATTTTCACCATTAATATTTATTGGTCTAAGCCAAGCAAGGCTCGATTTGTATGGGGTACTCTCCCAAAAACAAATAAATTTATATTCTATATACTAATCTAATAATTGTTTAGTTCTTCTAAAACATTTTCAGGATCCAATAGCAGTGGAAGGCTTGCCGACACAGTCTCAGAATTTTCAAATGAGTATAATTATTGACAAAAACTTGCTTATACCTGGATCAAAGTCACTGTTGAGATTGAGTGCAGACTGTGCTAGAGCGGGACATATCTATCGTCAATTCAGATTCTTTGTCCCTGATGCCCTCAATGGATACCATTTAGAGGTTAGTTTTAACAAACCAGATCTTTTCACACTCCTGGTAGCATAGTTATTTTCATTATGTTTGAAATTACATGATTGTTTCATAGGTTGAACCTCAAAATGGACAAGCTCTTCAAACTGAGTTTGTTTTTAGACTTATTGAAAAGCGGACCTCTGGAAAAGCAATTTACTCTTTTGGATATGAAGAAAATGGAAGTTTAAATATTTTATATTCTGGTCTAAATAAGGAGTTCAAAACTTATTTAGGATGCTGTAAGATGATTCTTTATATTTCTGTTTGAGAGATCACCTAAGTATACAAGTATTAAAAGTAATATCATTTAATCTTGTCAATTTAGTGTTCATCAGCATATTTCATAATTCATATTTAATTATTCTTTAGATAGAGTAGAAAAAATAAGATAATTTGATTTAGTAACCCATTATTACGAAAATAAATAATATCACAGGTTTAACTAAATGTTTTAATATTTTGTAAATTAGTATAGCTAATTTTCAAATTTCAATATTTGGAACAGAGTAACAAAAGACAGCGAGTCGCTACTTCCTTGTGGGATGAGAGAATGTTTCTGTGTGTGAATATGTTATTCACCATCTCTACATACTAGAAACTTAAAATAAGTTGCTCATAGATCAAATATATCGTTGGTTTATTGCAAAAAGTAACTAGGTGTACTTCTTATGGAGCTAAACTTTTGAGAATATATTCGTGAATCTCAATCATATTTATCAAAGATAATACTTCTTAAGTGCATCAAAATAATGTACTATGTGTCAACCACACTAGTAATACTATCATTATTATATGTCAAAAATAGTTAAATAAATGCGCAATATTTTATTTCTCACAGAAAAAATTCTTCAAATTACTTGGTGATTTAATTTTAATAGTAATAATATGTTTGTTCCATAATTGACCTTCTGGATATTATACAAAATCAGAAACTAATGGAAAACAGAGAAAGCAGTATCATTGACCATGTTTACTAACAAAAGATATTAGATGATTTTTCACAGACTTGAATGCAATTTGGGGGAATGAGCTAAATACTGAATTTTGATATGAATCATATCTTCAGAAAGCATAAATTAAATAAATATGAAAGGCTTGGACTAAAAGTGCTTTAGCCCAGAAGACCAGAATCTTGTAGCTCCAGAGATACACTTCGACTAATGTTCCTTGGTATGTGGAGGGCTATCTGCAAGGCTGGGAATGAGACTGAAGAGACTCATGAATTGTTTAATAAGATTCAATGTTGGGATTCTCAGGCTTTCCCATGTTTCATGCTTATACACCGAGTTTTCCCTACACTCTAGAACTCCTTACTCTATGTTCCTCTATCCACTCTCTTAATACGGGTCGATCCACTTGAAATCACACAGACCATGTTGTTTAATATTTTTTTACCAGTTATATCACATTTATTTGAGAATTCAAAGCCACAGTTAAAAAGAATTTAAGGTTCACAGTTTTTTTTCAGCAACCATTTTAAATATTCTTTTTGACTGAAAAAATGTTTTCAAAAAATGCCTGTAGCCACTTTTAGGGCTGCAAAAGTGGAATAAAGTAAAAAGTGTAATAATACAGTGGTATGACTATATATGAAGAAAAAAGTAAAGTTGAGACTCTCTTCTTTATCACACTTTTACAGTCCTAAAAATCACATTTTTTGTCTATTTTCATGATTTTTCAAACCCCTTTCCTTTCTCTTTGAATGATGTATTGATTAACAGAAATGTAGAAAAAATATTCTAAATTGTTTCAGTTTTTATTTTCGCTTTATATCTACAAAATAACCAGAGTTACAGGCATTTTCCCAAAACACGTTTCCAATAGAAAAGAAAATTAAAAATGGCCACTGAGAAATAACCGTGAGCCTTAAAATTTTTTTAACTACGGCTTTGAACTCTCAAATAAATGCAAAATAACTGGTAAAAAAAATTATAAAAATCAAAAATGTCGAGCGACAAAATTAATTCAAATTGTGATTTCAAATTGATTGACCCAATACCAGATCTCAACCTATAGATCTATATATTCCCTTCCATAAAACCTCTTCCATCAGCAAATCCTTTGTCATTCATGCTACCTCCTTTTGGAACTCCGTACATCAAGCCATGTCCAAAAATTCCCTCAGACAATTCCTATTCCATCACCTGCTTCACATTCAACCTTCCACAATAATGTAAGAATTAGCTTAGATGATTACTTTGATCATATTATTAAAATTGCTTTCTAACAGTTAATTGATAATAGCCATTTTATTTAATTTTTTTTTTAAATATTTATACTATTTCTGCATTACATGCCAGACCGATGTACATATTTCTTGAACTCTGTTATTTTTCTTAGGGGACTTTAGTCCCAGAATAAAATTATTTTTCATTTCTCATTTCTGATGTTCAACCCCCTTATACTTATCATTATTTATTAATAAAAACTTCTTGCGGTTTTCCTTCCTTAGTTGGGATTATTGCATTAACTCAATAAAAAAATAATTCTTGATTTCAATTCAAATACAAATTAAAAGAAAACTAATGTAATAATTTATCATAACTGCAGGCAAGTTCAAAATCGTAGCTACATTGTGCATAACCAAATCAAATTGTATAACCCAATATGGTCCTGAGATAGAAACAACCCTGCCATCAACATTCAACAATTCTATCTCCAGGTAAAAATGTTTATTTATTTTTTTTCAGAATTCAATTAAATGCACAAATATACACAATGTTATGTGAAAACCATTTATTCTAACTTTTGAGTCAACATCAATATCATTGGATTTTATTTGATAGTCCAATTGGTAGTACGTTTGGCTATTATAGTTCATACAATATTTTTGTCGGATTTGCTAACATTTTATAATTGAATTCATCGCATTACATTCCTAAAGATTGTTACCTTATCATTATTATATATATTGATGTTCACTATAAATAAAAATAAAGTTTAGCCCAACATTATGAAATGCTTTTTTTTTTTTTTCATACTAACCAAGTGTTTTTTCTTATTAAAATAAATATGACAGTGATCATTGGTTTTTCTATATTAAATGAACATGGGAAATGAATTTACAGCTTTCTAGTAAATTTATACAAAGAGCAAGTGATGAGTTCAGACTATGAAGAAGCATTGGCCAACTTAAAGATGGTGGTATCAACCCTTGAAAAAGTAGACCCTAATGCATATAAGCAGTATTACCAGGAAGCAGAACAAATCATTTTAGAGCGTATAGCAGCTCATACTGACAGGTTTATATTTTTATTAATATTTTAATAATCTTGGGCTATTTAACTACATCAATACTTATTACAATATTTTATAGCCAACTGAGTCCATGAATGTCATCCATCTACTAAAGATTAAAACTGAATATTCTGATTTTATAATAATAATCTTGTTATTTACTTTACAATATTTTTTTATTTTTGATAAAAATAATTAATGATATGGGGCATGAATGGGTGTTTTTCATAGTCATAATTTTTTTATAATAAATGATATATTTTTAATTAAATAAAAAATTATCTTGTAGGAGAATGTTAAAGTATTTTCTTCTTATTAATTAAAATGAGAATATGCTATTTAGGCAGTCAAGAAGTCTGTTGAGTTTTAATTTTTAATTTTAGACTGAAGAAAGATAAGGACTATCTCCATGAGTCCGTGAGAATGCTGGACGCTGCTAGTAATTTAATGGCATCTATTCATCTTTCAGAGGAATCTTTAAACACTATTCTTCAGTTCAGGGACTTAGTGCATGCCAATACAAGAACCTTAAGTGGTAAATAATTAACTGTACCAAAATCTAGTATAAAAAAATTGGGGGTGCGCAATAGCCCCTCTTGAATCCGCCATTGCCTAGTGTGAAAACAATGAAGCTCGTCAGACTGAAAATCATATTTTTCTTTGGATTATTTTTATTGATGTATTTTTATACTGGTTATATATTTTTTATAAGCCTGCAAGTTACTGAAGAGTAGCCTATAGCACCCTAACTACGTCTGAAGGCACTGTACTACCTGCCAACTGTTTTATCTGGTGTAATAAATTTGGCAGCTTTTCATCGCCTAGCTGTTTTTATAATATTTATTTATAGGTATTTATCAGTCAATCCTTTAAATCTTCATAAACGCAGGCATTGGATTTTTTCACTGTCAGCTACCTGCCTGACAAATTTTCAAATTTTGTGATGCTACTAGTAATATCAGCCTGTGAAAATGTGGCTTCAATCTATGAGAACCATAATTCTGGGTCTGATTAGTTCATGGTGGGCTTATGGTGGAAGGAGTTCCAGAAAGATAGAATTTTCTTCTCTGTTAAGGTGTTCCGCTATTTCTGGTCCTGTTTTGCTGCCTTCATATTTCTTTATAGTGGACATCTCTTCATCGTCACCCATTTTGATTCTTACAGGCATCATTCTCATTTTCTAATCATGTCGGGTTAACTGATTGAGTGATATTTATTGTATTGAGGTGCTATTTATAGTCTTTAGAAAGCCTTGATATGGCATGTCCTCATAATTTTATTAAGTTAGGAAAAGAGGTAGGTACGAGGCAGGTAAATGCAAGCGGTACAGCTACTGACTTCATTCAGTCATGGTGAATATGATCAACATCTCATTCTTTTAAATTTATTTATAATATTTACCAACTTATAATAGAAATATTACATCAGCATAAAAATGCACCATAGTACAAAATGTTACAAAAACAAAAATTTACCATAAGTCCGGCTTCATTGTTTTCTCACTGGGGATTTTGCCAACATAAACACAGACACCGATAGAATCTCTATGATCATGTTTTTACACAAATAATACCTAATTTATATATATATAAACAGATAACAATTTAAATATGAAATTATAAATCAAGTATGATATTGTAATATATTACAAGTGTAAATATTGAGAATATAAATAGAAAAATAAATTTGTTTTATTATCATTTATTTATTTTATATTTTTTTCTTAAATAACATTTCTCATTTATTATTTGTTTTTAGAAAAAATAAAAGAAAACAAAATTTCTCAAAATCTGCCACCTGAACCAAGGATTAGCAGCAATAATATTGAAAATGCGATCATTGCAAATAATAAAATAACTGCAAACTTGAAAAGAAAACCTTTTGTGGCTGTAAGTGTAATTAAAAGTATCTCATCATTCAAGTTTTGGTAACACTATTTTATAAGCTGTTTGTAAATATTTTAAATAATCTTTTTAATAAATCGAGATTTATAAATCTAGTTTTTATATATATACACTACAGTAACGATGTTTGGGTATACTTAAGATAAGCAGTTTCTGAAATTATGTCATTAATTACATGACAATAATCAAAATATTAATAAAGATTTATTACTTTGAAGTGTAAATAATTATCATTGTCACTAAATGGTTATATAATGTGGAAATATTTTTTTTTTTTACCATTTTTAACATACTAAATGCATGTTCTAGAGGTACAACCAAGCCTATTCTAACCAGAGCGGGAAGGTCGAGATTCATTCCACGAGTAAGCCATGAAATAAATTTCAACTCACCTTAATAAATAAATTTTGGGCTGGATTCAAACCGGCGCCAATGGATGATGTGTAATGAAGCTTGTAGCACACTTTAACACAATAAACCTCCACAGCCTCGTCCATCCATCTGAGCTGAGGCTTTCTTTGATTTTTTCTTATTTCTCTGATTTATCGTTTATTGTGATTTTTCCTTAATTGGTGGGATCCAATCTCTACATTTTTTTCTGACATTATCCAGTTCACCATATTGGTCTCTTAAATCTAGGTTATTCCTAATTCTACATTGATCCTCCTCTTTGATTGACCCATACATGTTATGAAGTATTTTTCTCTCCCATGCCTGAAGGATCCTTTTGCTTTCTTTAGTTATACCTATACCCATATGTCACAATTGGTCTCACAAGATAATGTTAGAGTTTATTAATGAAACATATTTTATTTTGAATATATCAGATTCATTATATTTACGTCAGTTTGTTTATTTTTTGTCATTAGCGGCAATGATAATTTTCAAATTGATGGCTCTAACTCATTGGTTTTAATTATGTGTTAAGAGAAATATGACATAAGTAAAACAGAAATATTCATGAGAAATAATTAAAAAGATTAGGATAGAGAAAGTGAAAATGATTAAAATATGAAATATTTTGTTTGTCCAGGCAGAAGCAGCCCTCAAATCTAAAATCGATTTGTTGAAAAGGTTTGATAATGACTTGATGAGTGATCACAGGGAGAGGTCTATGCTCCTAAACTCTATACTCTACTATTCACTTAGGCAGGGCACAGAAAACAATAACTTAGGTATGAAAATTACTTTTAATGATAATAAGCTATTGAACATTATATTGATTCTAAAATATAATATATTTTAGTAACATTCAGTGCAGATCTTAAATGAAGGATTAGTACTGTTATTGTTTAAGATAACTAGTCCTTTAAATGGACTTGGTGGTCCTTTCTTTCAAGCCAGATAGCCATCAAGAGTTTGATGTCCTCTATTAACAAAACTTTAAATAAATGTTTGACGATTAACCAGATTCGTTTTTCTGGTCCACCAAAAGAAAGAATAAATCTGCACTTGAAAAATAATTGATTAGTTCGCTCTAATCTCAAAGTTTTGGACAGCGGCCCCTTCTTTTGCAATAAAATTTTATACCCCGTAGACATTGCACTAAAACTATTCCCAATAGTGTATCAGACAGAGGCTCAATACATTCAAACTCTTAAAATTTCAAGTAAGGGATTGAGTGATCGACATCAGTATCTTTAAAATTTTAGAGAGACTATATTATATGGCTGCATAGCAAATGGAGTCTACTCCAACCAAAAACCAACAGTAAAAAAAAAAAAAAATTGCATTTGTTAGTTCCAAAAATTAAATGAAATTTCTAATATGATATTTGCAGATTGCAAAAAAGATAAGAGGGAGTAGATAGAAAAATTGTATTTGTTGGAAAACCATGTTCATAGAAATCACTATATGATTCTTTATAAATGATATAATAATAAAATGATAAACTCACATTTGTTTTGATATTGATTTTTTATACTGTGATAAGGAAGATACTTGAATTTAGGTTGAAAGTTAGTTGTGTATCATTAAAGATTACCAAAGAAGAGAAAAGGCTTTTTTTTCATAGACTGTACAAAATATTGTATTAAGTATTATGAAATTATTTTGAAAATTATTATATAATGGTTTATTCTGAATTGTTATCCCCAACTAACAGTAAGAAGATGTTTCAGGATCATAAAAATTGAAAAATGATTTGCATTAAAATAAAAAATTGTATTTTCTATTTTTAGGCTTTGTTATATTGTTTAAAAGACTATAAATCTTCATAAATGAAAATATATGGGAATCTATGGAACTTCTAATTGGCCTCTGGTTTGAAGCTAAATGGTGGAGTATAATGATACAGTTCTAAGGATCATCCTGAGGTGGTGATCGGTTTATCCATATTTTTTTTTCTAAAAATTGCTCTGAACAAAAAAGAAAATCTAAACTTAACCCTTTAGATGCGCAAAGCCAATATAATGGATCGGGCCAGTATACCCGGTTCCATCCTTATATCACCTTTCTTTAGTCTTTTCAACACAATTTAGCTCTAAAAATAACAACAGTGTTTTGAAGTGAGAAAGTTGAAAATGAGTTATAAACTTTTTTTTTAATTTTTAAAAAATATTTTTTTTTTCCGAAAGTATATATATTTTTTTAAATTGTAGTACATGTAATAAAATTTATGATACAATGAAACGTTCTTTAAATTTTTCCACATCAAATATTATCAGAAATTGGATAATAATAAAAAAGGTTAATACTTAAGTTATGTCATGATTTTGAAACTTCTGTAAGAGAAAAATGCATATCTATCAAAGATTCTGAAATTGCTATAATTGAAAATAGCTGTTAGCCACAAACAGCTTTTTCCCTCTAGCTCTTTTATTTAATTTCAGCCATCTCATTTAAAATTATGAGGTTTGAATATCAGAATCCTAATTTAATTGTAATTGTAATGACCATCAATCCTATCTTTCACTAATTTTTTTTTTAAAGACCTGAGCTTACAGTCTACCTTTTCATTAATCGACTATTTGAATTAATTTTGGAAAATGACATGTATTTGAAAATAAACTATATCCTTGGTTTTTTGAAAGATTTCTTTAAGTACAACTTTCCTGGTTTCAAAACTACAAGTATATAATTGTGAATTTTAATCATATTTATCAATGCAAAAAACGTTTTTATAAAAAAAAAAAAAAAAATTATCAAAAAAGTATCAAACTAATATTTCAAAATTGTAATGAATTCTATTAAAGATAAAAAATAGTTTCTATAAGAGCACAATGTTCCAATTTTACAGAGGAGGAGTTATCAAGTTACTCAGTGATTTAATTTAATAAAATATTAGTCATAAACTCTCTTCCATAAACCAACATTATTCTATTTTTTAGTTATATTGGAATCTTTTAAACAATGTGTACATGTTTTTTGTCATCAAAGATGACCTAATACGAAATTACAAATTATTTATGTTGTCAGATCCTGTATTGTACAGTGCAACAGAAAACCTACTGCGCCAAAAAAGAGAGGTTGGAGATATGAAGAGCAAGACGATTGCAAAAGTAAAATCGTTCTGTATCTTATTGTTTATTCAGTTTCTGTTTCTGTATTTAATCAATACTAGTCATTTTTACCTATTGCAAAATGATTTTTTTTTTTTCAGAAAGATATGGAGACTGTGCTGAAGGCGACTGTCTTACCTCTTCTACAGAAAGATGGGAATTGGAATAAAGCACGAGAGGAAACTCTTAAGCTCATATCAATTATTTTTGATTACTCAAAGGATCTTTGCAACGATGCATCTGTTCACCACATTATTGGTATCTAAGATTAAAAATTGTAAAGTTGTAATTAGGTAACAATTTCTACTGTTTTAGGAAAGTCTATGTTTTATTATATAAGGCATTTTGTGAAATTTTTCTTCCCTGGTAGTTTATTTTATTAATTACAAGCTTTGTTCATTCTTTAGATGCATAGTATTTTTGATTCTTTCAGCATTATTTCTTCATCTTCAGAAATGTATCTAATTATTTGACAACATGTTACAATAAATTAATCGCTGAACGATGCTTTGCATATACAGGATGAATGAAGTACTTAATAAAAGAAATGAATTATTAAGGAAGACAAATTTCACCAAATACCTGATATTGAAGGAAGTTAGTTGACTGTTATATCATAGGTGATAAATAGTCAGGACGCAATCATTTTAAAATTTGTATTTTTGCCAACGTTTCAACCCAAGTATATGGGTCATCATCAGGGCATGTTACCAGCACTGAAGGTACTTGGATCGAACATTACTTGTTGAGGTGTTCAGTACTTGAGTGCTAGTAACATGTCTAGGTTGAAACATCAGCAACAATAAAAATCTTAAAATGACTGCGTTCTGATTATTTATCACCTAAAATACGTGATATATTTATTGATTTATTATTCTTTTAATAATTTAATAATAATAATAATAATAATAAGGCTTAGCGAACCCAAAGGTTCGATGCCGACACCACCAATCGCTTATTACACACCTCCCTCCACCGTTCGCCGTCCAAACCCAGTCCCTTCAGATCGGCTTTAAAGCAATCTTCCCACCTTCGCTTCGGTCTACCCCTCGGACGCTTACCATTCGGCACAGCAAATATTAACCTTTTAGGAATTCTCTCGTTACTAAGCCCAACAACTTTACAAGCCCATTTGATTCGCCGTGATGAAATTACATCAATTATATTACCCGGATACAGCTCACGCAATTCGGCATTGTGTAGCCGTCTGAACTCTCCGGTTAACTCATCCTTCTTCGGTCCGAATATTCTACGCAATACTTTATTTTCAAAAACCTTAAGATGCTGCTCATCCCTTAATGTAAGTGGTCAAGTTTCGCATCCATAAAGAACTGTAGGCAAGATAATTGTTTTATAGATTCTAATTTTTAAGTTCCGGGACAAGAGGCGCGAACTAAGTAGTTTTGTCACAGAAAAATAACAAGCATTTCCCGCCTTCAGTCTAACTTTAATCTCTTCTTCAATTTCGTTTTTTCTAGTTATCGTTGAACCTAGATACCTAAACTTATCTACCTGTTCAAACATATTACCATCTATATCGATGTCACCAGTAGTATCGCCATTTTTGCAGCTAACCATATATTTTGTTTTATCCACGTTTATTTCGAGTCCTAGTTCTTTCCCGGCTTTCATTAACGTTGTCGTATTTAGTTTTATAGTTTCAACGTCTTCGCTTAACAGTACCAGATCATCAGCATAGCCCAGCACGGATGTTGTCCCGCCCATTTAATAATTTTAATTTTAATAATTTAATGCTTGAAAAAAATTGTTTACACTCTGGATCAATCCCTGGCATTATTCTTTTGCAGTGGCTATAGTTCAACTACCATTAGTTGGCAGTCCGAGGACATAATATTAACAAATATAACATATATTGAAAGATGATAACCTAATTTTCAAATGTATGCATACATATACGTAAAAATATTGTAAGTAATATCAGAGTGTCAGGAAATAACAAAATGTTAGTTTCAATATCGTGCCACATGAGTTCGTCCTCAGAATACCAGCTAATTGTGGTAAAGTTATAGTTATTAGTCATGTGTTATCATTTCCTTGCATTAGGTAAAGAACAGGATCTAGTACTGTTAGGATCCAAGCCTCTCAAGAGCTCTAAGAACGAAAAGATAGTATTTCCATTTTGCAGCTCCTCCTGGTGCCCCTCTCTCAAGAATCTTCTCAATGTATGTATCTGAGCAATGACGTATCTGAAATACATATACAGGGAATGAAAATTAACAGTTAACTTTCTATTTCTGTTTGTAGGTCAGCTTAGCTAATTTCAACCCTGTAAGCAATAGCTCTGAAGGTGTGTGTTTCTCTATCGCCTCACTAAGGGACGACATTTTGACAAACCTAATACCAGCGGCAGTGAATTCCACTAGTGTTAGGTGTCTACATTTTACTGTGTTGACCTTTTAGTCCATGAATGTTTGTACAAGAAGTGAACTATCCATCTTTCCAAACTAAAAATTTTTTTAAAGCTTCAATTTCTAATGGCTAATTCTATGGCAAATTTGTCATAATGGTAAAAATAGTTTTTACTGTTTATTAGAAATAATTCACTATTGAATCTTCTTCAGAACATGATGCTTTTACACTTATACTTGGCAAACAAATAATTTGCCTAAAAATATTCTATGAAAGGGCAAAAAATTAGCCGCATATTAATAATGCAATCGTTAATATCAGGGAAAGTGATTTAATGAATCTGATGCATCAGTTGAAATATTTTAGACCTAGCTACTGGGACATATATTTCAGTATAAGTTAATTCTCATACTGTTTTGTATGAAGCTCTAAAAGGTATTAACTTTTTATTTATAAATCATCTTTTTTCTTGAGTTTTATTGTAAAATGATATATAACATTACCTATAAATACAATTTAATCTTAGAAAAAGATAATCTGGGAGGAAACAATCGAAGAGTGGAGCAGGCAGTAAGATAATTTTGCTGCATGATAACTCTTGACTTCATGTTGCAAACTAAGAGTTTTGATTGTTTCATTGCCAATTGTACTAAATAGTAGAGGCAACCAAATGATGATAATAAACATTATTATTTGGAACTCTCAGTAAAACTAGCGCCTAAAGCCTGACACCATTCTTACTGGCAGCATTTAATAGTTTATTAGATTTATAAATCATTAAATTTTTTTAAAATAAAAATTTGTTTGAATATTTAGGTGGAATGGATGAATAAATATTGTTTTGGCCAAAAAAAAGAACAACAAAAAAACACACATGTTTTTAACACTTTAAAACCCTTTTTCTCCAAAATAATTACAGATTTAAAATTTTCACAGGATACTTTTAATGAGATTTTGAACAGAATAGACACAAAGATGATTAATTTGTCCAAATAGAAACCTATTTTCAATGAAAAATATTAGTATCAGTTCCAGGATTCAAATCTCTTTTCTGTTTCTTTTCGAACCTCTTATTGATGGACAGAAAAAGTTTCACAATTCAAAATCTTCTATAGATTTTAAGAAAAAGGAACACTTGTGTGTTGTTCTTGATTGTTTATTTGAAATTAATATCCTCATATAGTTCAACTAGGTTAGGAAAGACAGGTTATCATACTGGTAATCAACCCTATCTAACAAGAGTTGGTAGGTCGAAATTCATTCCATGGGTTCACCACAAAATATAAACATTTAAACATTACAAGATTACCAAGAAATAATTTTGTAAGGCTACTAAGTTTAGAGTTTGGAACTTATGACGCTGTTGCAACTTTTAACAAACGAAAGATTATAAAATGTTGTGTGTTTGAGATGCTTGGAATAGGTATATGTCCTTTTGATATTAAAGCATTTAAAAAAATTGGACAAGCAACGTTAAATAAAGCTAAATTTACATTTGAAGAGTTAACTTCTAGAGGAAAAACTAAAATATATCAGGCAATAAAAATTTGAAAATGACCTTATGGTTTGGAACGCATTTGAATTTTTTTATTTTTGCATTATATTAAAAAATGTATATTTGTATATTTTTTCAGACTAAATGAGTTTTATTCAAAACCCTGTTCACATGTATTCATGAGTAGTTTTAAGTATCATAATATATGAAACGTATATCAAAATATTCAGCAAGAGTATTCTCAGAAAAAAAGAAAAAAAACGACTAAATTTGTCTTCATTTTAGTTCTTCCAGAACAATAATAAAGTTATTAACAATCAAATTTGTTCTGAGACTTTACTTAAATTATCAATCCACTAACCCATAATCATTGAACAGGAGAAGTGCTGTTTATTGGCTTCATGCGATGGAGTACCAGCACGGTGTGGTACCTGGAATTTCCTACAATATTACATATGATTCCGAATCTTCTGGTCATATGCTAGTACAGTTTCCCGTCCGGCTCGATACTGAGTCAAGAAATAATAAGACTACTCTGGAGGTTTGTTATACCTTGTATTTTCTTTTGAATATCAGTTTTGGGTTAATGCTTATAATTTTCACCTTTTTCATCCATTGGTTGAGCTGAAAGTATGCTTATTTATTTTTTATATATGTTTTCTAGTGTTGGATGTTTAGTGCTGAAGGGTGGAACAACAGTGCTTGTGTAAAAATGAAAGAAACACCAAAAGAAAATGTCACATCATTACAATGCAATTGCCCTTTTCCAGGCTTCTACAGGTAATGAATTATTAATTCATAAATATATACAACTTTATTTTAAAACGTTGGATAAGTGATTTCTTGGTCCTGTCAAAAAAATAAATTTCCGGGCATGTTTCTTTTAAGAAATCTCCTGTCAATATGAATCTATTACAATTTAGAATAATGGTTGGGAATGGCTTAGAACACCTTTATTTTATCATACATTCCCCTAGCTACTCTGATTCTATGAGTCATTACTAATTATTTTCATTCAAATGATCACTTAAATATTTGAAATTACCTATCTACTCTAATCTCTCTCCATTTTCTCTCATTATTCTCTGGAGTTTCTTTCCTATAAATGTATTTTGTCTTCTCCAGGTCAGTTTTCATATATATTGTAGTTATTTCTTCTTGGAAGACATTTATATTGAATTTGAGGTCTCGATCATTGGCAGCTTGCAAGATGATCATCATCGATGCACTACGAGATTTTCGTGAGATATCGATTTCTGTATCCTAGCAAGAACCATCTTATTTGTAGTTCAGTGCTCTTTAGTACCAAGTCTTTAAAGATAGATTTTTTTGTATCATCAGTTTTTTCCTGGTAGGAAAAGCGAGAGAAACAAAAATTGTAACAATGAGAGATGGAGATATTAACTTATTTACTACCATAACATTAATTAAAATTACACGTGCAACCCTTGTCCCAAAATATCATTATATGTTGGAAAGAACTTTATTTGTTGCTAAGTTTGAAAGAATTTTAAAAAAATATGTTATAACATAGCATGAAAAACCCACAGTATTGAAACTAAGAAAGGGATCCCCATTAATTTATTTAGCAATCATTACCATTGTAATGTTGTTTGAAAAGCTCTCCCTCTATCTTTAAAAATCATACAGATAATGGATTGTTATAAAACCTCCAATATATTTAGTTCAGATCTTCAAGTTTACAATGAATTTTATTCTTTTTTTCTAATATTTATCTTTATATTTAATTTTAATTGTATAGATATTTAGTTTCCTGACTACATGTTATGATTTCTGGCTTATAATTTCTTTATTTATTATAAGTGAACCTAATCTCACGATTTCATTTTATTTGCTTATAAGGTATATAGTCTGATATGTTATGTGTAACTTCAGAACTTTTAGGATAAAATTTATTTTATGAGCTCTAAAAGCATTAATTCTAATGCCAATGCATATTATTTAGTGTGTTTTCAGTAGAAGATAAAAAGCTGGATCAGGAATTAGTTACTACTAAAAATGAAACACCTTCTTCAACATCTTCTACAAAAATTGTCTTGCAGACTACCACCAAATCAGGTCCTACTACTACTTTAAAGCCTACAGTTTCTACCAACCAGACCACAACTATTGTTCAGAAAACATCTGCGAAACAAGACATTGTTAATACATCTGTAACATTGAAGGTGACTACATCATCAATTATTCCAAAAGATCTGACTACAATGTTATCCCAGATTCCATCAACTACAACGGTGGCAGGACAAACTGTATCCTCTTCAGTGCTTATCAAGACAACAAATCTCACTACAAAACAGATCACCAGCACAGTGAGTCAGGCTTATGACAACGATATAACAACGGTTCCAAGCATCTACCAGCCTTATAAATATTCTGCTACTTTCAGGTAAAGGCACTTTATATTTTGAGTGAAATTCCTTATAATAGAAACAATTTAGTTATTTATTAATTGCAAAAATTAATTCTATTTGATAAGGTTGTTAAATTTTTTTTTCTGTTTAAAGGATTAATGGAAGTTATGTAGAGGAAGTTGGGGAAATGAAGGAAAAGTTTGAAGAACATTTAGAAGATCAGTTACAAAAAATTCTTAATATGTCCGAATCAGTTACTGTTGATGCATGGAAAGAGAAGGGTAATTATTTCAACAATAAAATAGGAAATAATCTGTTTAGATTTGTTTCAATAAATGTTATCGTATGTTTTGTTTCTACGTCTAGAATATTTATCTTATTCAATTTTTTCCAGTGTCTTTAATTCATATACTGAGAAGTATAAAAGTTTTTCTATTTGGTTGGTATATGTGCAAAAATGTTGAATACTTTAATGATTTTTATTGACTGTACATATTAGATTATTGCCCTCTTAATCAATTTCAAATCTTTAAATAATTAAGTTTGTTGGGATCAGCTGCACATTACAATGTCTGATTTGAAATTTTTTTTTGAAGGATCGGTCTGATAAAGATGACCATTACAGATATAAATTTGGGAAAATATGTCAGAAACATTTATTTCCGAAAGCACGGGCGGATCTACGGGGGGGCTTTCGGGCTGAAGCCCCCCCCCAAAATGGTAAAATATAACTATGTTTTATGGGAAAATATATTAATAAATTATCTCTTAAAGTATTATTATTGGTGTAATTACATTTAAAAGGGCGTAAGGAATCACTTAAACACGATTTCATATAGATAGCTAGTTTCTTTCTTTTTTTCCAAGGTAATTATAGCCATTTTTATGAAAAAAAAAAGCTTTCGGGCTGAAGCCCCCTCCCAAAATTGAATCCTGGATCCGCTAGTGTCCGAAAGTAAAGAAATGTTCATGCGTTAGTCAGCTCTACCATCCCACCCTTAAAGCTATGATAGACTTAACCTTTTCAGTGAGAATGATCGTGGAGAGATCAGCTGAGTACAATATCCAGACCCACCATCTCATTGTGGATTTCTGTGCTTCCTATTATTTGATTTGAGAAGAACTTTATGATGCAATGATTACTCTTGGCATTCCTCCGAATCTAGTCCGCCTTTTCAGAATAACTATGAAGACTACCCAGTGCTCAATGAGAGTTTAGAGACACATTTGAGTCTTGCCGTAGCCAATTCCATAACCAAATTTTTATGAAGGATAGTAAAAATCGGAGATTTCAACTTTGAATGTGTTGAGCAATTTTTTACCATTGAACACTCTTGAACTTGACCAATATGCAACCAGAGATTCAGTGTCGGATTTTGGCCGCCAATAGGCACTGTTAGGGGCTTCAGAGGTATCTAAAAAACAAATCTCTCTCTAGGACCACCAATGTATATGTCTACAAGCCCTAATCAGACCCATCCTCATATGTTATTCAGAGTATTGGACACTGACAAAAACACTTGAATCTTCTCTATTGAGATTTGAAAGAAAATTCTTGAGAAGGATTATGGGGCCTATGTGTATCGACGGTGTATGGGGATTGAGAAAAAACACTGAGCTAATTACCACACTGGTTCTGATATCATTCATTTAATAAAGATTCAACATCTAAGATGGACCTGTTGCACATATGGATAGTTATGAAATCATATGGATAGAAGAAAAAGTATTTTGACATAGAAGAGTTGAAAAAATATTTTCATGTAGAAGATTTGGAAGACCTTGACTGCACTGAGTTTATTGTGTAGCAATAGATGTTCAGAAACTGTTAAGAATTACGGAAACCTTTCGTGAGACCATCCCTGACGAAGGCCTGAACTTTGGGCAGAAATGGTGATAAAAATAAATATCATTTCTTTATTTTTACTTTGTATTTTTGAATGAAGGTCCCAAACAATTTTTCTTCAATCATTAAATTACTAATTCTTAATGTATTGGGGAAACAACTGAAAATATCTAAGTATTAATTTGACTATAATAATAGCTAAATAAACCTAATGTTTAATAAAGATGGCAGTATCCTACCACTGAGGTTGTTACCTCTTTGTAAAGATATAATATTTTAATTTGTCCCTTTGACCATTCATTATATCACACTAAGTCTGTAAATAGCTTCTCAATCTGTTTTCAGATAAAATAGCTGTTGCCTTGCGGATTCCAGAGAACAAGCTGCAAGAGGCTGGTCATTCCATTACACTTCTGAAAGACCTGTTAAAAAATGGGTCACTTATATTAGAAGGTATAGGTGATAACCGACTGAATATACCAGCCCAGGATATAGTTCTCACCCAACAAGGTAAGACAGCAAGGAAATGTTTTTAATAGGTTCATTTGGCTTCTTCCTTGGCTTACTTCCTTCGAAATTTCTTTTATTATACTAGTACTATTTGTATTTTCTTTTGTATTAATTCATCATTGTTATTCTAAGGAGACTTAGTCCCAGAATAAAGTTCAATTTTCTATTCTATTCTATTCTACTGAACTTTTTGTTGACATTTCAGGGACTATTGACTAACAATTATGAAATAAAAACTTAGAAGTAATCCATTATTCCAATTGTTAATCAGTAACTCCTTGATATTTATAACACAAAAACTGTAATTATAGTAATTTACTATTTAATTCAAAATGAGAAGAGGTGTAAGTATGTTCGATGGATATAGAAAACCTCCTTGTGATTCGTATAGATATTAACATATCATGTATTATATATCATTTATCTATATTAATAAAAATGTAAATGTTCGTTTGTTCAAAATCGCTAATTTAAGAAACTTTTTCACCGATTGTTTTGAAATATTGACATAATGTTTCTATCGCATTCAGGAGTGTATTTTATACATTTAATCACCATCCGGTCTTTCGTTTCGGAAAGGTGGCCCAAAAACCTTTGTCGCTATAGACTGTAGCGCCTAAACGGCTGCAAAGATTTTAATTAAACTTAGCTAAAGTCTTCTCCTTGAAGCCCTTTTAATTTATGTATATAACATCCTTCCCCGAAAACAATATGAAAAAAAAGTTATGATGGGTTCAAAACTATATTTGCGAATAACTGACAAAGTACAAAATTTTTGTTTGATTATACCCATCATTATTTTAAAGCTTTCTTGATTTCCTACAAAGTGACCATCCAAATCGAAAAGAATTATCTCCGAAATGAAACAATGAGTAACGGCCAATGGAGAAAAGTGGGTTCAAATATTTTTTTTTAATGAGGAACAGAGTTGAGATTCTTTTTCCCATCTTGACAAACCCTCAAATGCGACTTATCATTGCAATCGAAAAATAAAAATTTTTTACTCAAATTTTCGTCAAGGTATTCGATTTTTTTTTTAAATCATAAAAGTTGTCATAACTTCGATATGGCTCTGCTTATCCACACAAAAATTGGCATATAATATACATGAAATGGCACTAACCAGAGGTCCGTAAATAAATTAGGCTTGGAGATAAAAAATAAAAACCTGTTTGGAGTTTTTCTTTATTTATTCCGTATAAGGGCATTAAATATAAAAGTTTTGTAAATAGGCTTAAAGAGTTACAACTCAGGTTTCCAACGGTCATAATAACATAGAATTAGGAGAAAACCACAATGAGTTATGAGTTATTTAGTGATAAGCAGGTAAAAAGATTCTGATAGAGCGTCAATCGGTTTCCATGGCGACCCATCACTTATCTATTCCTTTATCTGTATTAATAAAAATGTAAATGCTTGTATAATAAAATTTTGTCTTAAAAAAATAAAGGTTTCAGAACACATTGAAATATATCCCCTAAAATTCAATATATTTTTGTTTGTAGGTGGTGCTGCAAAATCTGCCATAACTGCTTTTGTCACTATTGTGTTTATATTCTTGATGATTCTGATAGGTTCAGTTGTTGCAGCCTTTTACCTGCGCAACAATAGAGAGCAACGGTCTATCAGAATAACCCAGGTCAGAATTTAATTCAGATGATTTTTTGTAACTATTTTTTTTTTTTTAATTGTCCAATCCCTACCCAAAATACAAAATTGACTTACATTTGTTAATAAAATTAACAATAAATATTACTACTCATAGCTTTATAAGTGAGGTAGCTCAGTGAGTAATGCTTTGCTCCTATCTCACCAGCCCAGGTTTGAGTGCTGCTATTATTGTTTATTCTGTTACATTTGTCTTAAATTGATCCTGGGGTCAGAAGAACCCTCTTGGGCCAGACCCAGCAGACGAGAACTCAATTGAATTGAGTTCTTATCTTGACTGCCAAATGATAGCCCTGACTATGACCCACATGTTTGGGTCGAAACATTGGCTAACTCATTAAAGAAATTTTGACTGAAATTCCTCACAATTTTATTTCATATGAAAATTATAAACTATATTTGATATATTGAAGGGGCTTGTGTCATTTCAATAAACTTACTATGATTTAGTAACTATAAATAACGTCAAAATTTACAAAGCTGTACTTAAAGGTTTTGCTCCATCAATGTACTTAAAGACTTTTTGCAATGATCAGACAATATTTTTAGTATTTATGTTTATATGTATACTATTATGCTATATAGCATTTCAATATTATATTTATAGGACTTGCATTCAGATCCTCCTGCACCTAAATATCTAAGACTTCATGATTCTGTATCTCTTGATAGTTCTGGCCCTTCAACACCACAAAGTAAGATGACAAATATTACTTTTCATAATAATCTCCCTTAAAGGGATTTAGTATGCATTTTTGTTACTTTAATGCTGTCTGATGAATAAGATATAAATTTCTTATTTTTTCAACCTCGACGTTAGATACTGAAATGGAATCATCTCTTGCTGTTCTTACCAGACCACAAAGGAGGGGGTATGAAACAATGGAAACGTTCAGGTAATTATTTCTTGTTAATGAAATGAAAAAGTTTTTAGCTCTTTTTAATATTTTGATTATGACTGCAACAGATGAAAGTAAACTTTATTCTTTTAAAATGACAGTTAAATTATTCATTTTTCCTGTTTCAGTTTGATGGCAATTTTAGCTTAGGAACATCAGGCTTGACTATTATAAACATATGTTGACAGTGATGGATATCACTTTTTATGGAGTTTGTTATATCATTTTTTTGTGTGAAACCATGTCTGATAAATATATATATATATACATATCTATGTTCATATAGGTTGTATATTGTTTTAACTCAAGACTTTTTTATCTTTAAAAAATTAAAAACAAAATATGAGAATGTGGAATACTGCATTTTTATATTCATTCATAATCAAAACTTGCCTTTGCCAAACCTGCAAATGTTGAGGGATTACTTAATTTCACTCTTCTGGTTGTAAGATTTTTTATCTTTTTAATAATTAAAATATACAAAATTTTCATAGTTTGATAATTTATTGATATACTTCACCAGTAACTTACATTTCGAATAAGCGCTTATTTTTTTCACAAACAGATAAATTTTATTTCCTGTTTCATTCAGGAATTAGCTTTGTTGGAAGACTTTTTTTTTTATTCAAGAACTCCAAAATGACATTATTTTTTGCTTCATTGCTATTTAACAATTGTATGCAATATTTTTCATATTTAAATTAATTTTTTTTCTCTGGCATACATGATGGTTATCCTGGCAGATTACCAATCTATTCAAGCCAGAATGAAAAAGTTGACATTCATGTCATGGATCCTCCAATAAATAATTTAATTGTGAATTAAAATTGAACATTAATCCTTCAAGAAATAAATTTATAAACAAGGTTGAGATGATTTTTTGGTTGGAAATTTAATCCATTATATCCTTGCAACATTTATTTGTTTTATTTTACCTAAAAGTTAACAGAGAAAAATGTATTCTAATGAATATGTATAAGTTATATTATTTTATCTTTCTATATTCTGATATTTCTTTTTTTTTCTTTCAGTCACTTCCCTGGAAACATTTAAAGAAGATAATTTTACATTTTATTATTAATAAGCTTATTATTGTAAATAGCTGTACATTGTGTGAATTTTTCAGAGAATCTGATTTTATATGTAATCTATTGGTATTTTTACTTGAAACTGTAAAAAAATACAAAAGTAGTTATCATGGATGATAAATATTCCGGACACAGTCTTTAAGAAGTTTTTATTAGTGCCAATGTTTCAACCCAAACATGTGGGTCATCATCAAGGCGTGTTTCGAGCACTGAAGATATTCAAGTACTGAGTACTCAAAACATGTCCTGATGATGACCCACATGTTTGGGTTGAAACATGGGCACTAATAAAAGCTTTAGAATGACTGCGTCCTGAATAATTATCAACCATGATATGTAGAACAGTCGACTAACTTCCTTCAATAAAAGTATTTATCCCTTCTGAACTTTTGTTTAAACTAATTCTTGATGGATTTGAGTCTCTGTTCACTAATTCTTTGTCTAATTCTATTGTAATTGACATTTTTTGTCATTCAAAAGTTCGTTTCTTTTAATAGCATTAAGAAAAAGAAAAGTTAAGTAAAGAGGATTTTCAGTAATAACTAAAATAAGAAATAAGAAAACTTTTACTTAATTTTTCATTGGAAGCTATTTTAATTGCAGAATAAGCTATTTAGTTATATAACTGCAGATAGGTACTCAAGCCTTTGGGCACCTACTCAGTCAACATTACTAAGCTAATGCTGAATTTTCTCAATATATTGGCAATATGAGGGTTACTTTGTAGAGAGAAATACTTTATTGAAAGTAGTGCTGCCCTACTACTTAGGGTCGCTTTACACAGCATACCGATCAATCCATTTGGACATAATTTATACATTACATTATTCTATTACTACACATATCTATCTTTCCTTCCTCATTATAATACTAGTCTTATGAAATATAAACTAACAACTATACCAAGCCCAATAAACTACACTGAGCCATCAACATTGCATAACATACGCTGAAAAAAAAATTTGAATGCTAAGAATCAAACACTAAATCGCACATACATATATCCACAACAATAGACAAAAAGACAAGACAATGGTAACAATCCAAAATAGAATAAATAAATAAATAAATGATAAAAGACATCCTCAATTCATGGTAAATTACTATATAAGTGATGGTGAATGATTCCCAAGGAATCCAGGATAATATTCTCGGGCAATATCGCAAGCTCCCCGACACCAACACCTAGTTCCTCGACGAAGCTAAATAAGCTATAAGGAATAATGTTGATGGTAATAAAATTTGCAGACATTTTTATTCAAAAGCAAATTTGTATATGATATTTAATAATGATAATCTATTTTTATTACAAAAATATTTCTTAAATATAAAACAAGAAGTATTTTATTCACAAACCCATTAAGCTTCAATCACATTAAAGCTATAATGGCATTTAACCACACAAACAAAAAATGAAACAAAATACTTCTTTGGAGAAAGGACAATCATAAACAACATTATATTATCCCAACGTTATTGACACTTATGAGGGGCACCCTCAATAATCAGCTTTCATAAATTGCTTCAATTTTGTTAACTTAATAATACTGACCATGGTGCTCTTTTTTATGTTGCCAAGTCTCATGACTATCACTTCTATCCTATACTTTTTTTTTATGGTTTGAGGCTGTTCAACAGAAAATAGTCATTGTTGGCCATATCATATGTCTTACTCTCAACAGGTAAAAAAACAAATGCTCTAAATGCAATGCCATCAAGGACTTGTACACAATTAAATACTATCCATAATTGCAGAAAATATGATGCCTACCAAATAAAATACAGAAGAATGCAGGGCAGATTTACCCTATATTGCTATTTAATACACGTCTTGGTAATATAATAATAGTGGGCTGTAAATAATTTCAATGGAAGTCATAAATTATTGTAAGAAAATTTAATCAAAATAATTAAAATAAATTAAATCAAAATAAGTAATATTTATGTTTAACTGACCTATCCTCCACTTGTACTCTTATAAACATCTTTGTTTTTTTATTTAAATTAAATTTATATTTTTGTGTAAAGTGTATCCATTGATTAAAGATTAATCTTGCATTAACATTTTTTGTAATTTTAATCATTTAACATTTATTTTTGATAAATTTATTGTTTCTTTCTGATTATATGCTTATTAAATAAGATAATCATTTTTGGGATCATAGAAGTAATTTTATTTAACCTACATTAGTCCATGAATCCACATTTATGCTTCTAGATACTGGGATATCAAGATTAAAGTAAAAAACTTGAATGTTTTGTAAATTGATATTGTTTTAATGAAATCCATTAGTGAATATATATTTATTACCACAATAGAAAAACAACCGATTATTAAAATTCAAATTAGTTTATAAGGTCTTTTTAACAATCTGCCATATTCAGTTACCAACATGTTTGCTATCGGCTGCATGTATCACTATTTTTTTTTTAGTTTAACTAGACTAGACAATATTTAGTCTATGTTCACTAAATATATATTCTTTGTATTATTTTTATTCTTCCTTGGTAAAAATAATTGTATAACCTATTTTAAAGAAGTTTATGTTTGAATAAACTAGACATATATTTATATATGAGTTGTTACATTTATAAATAATATATATGTGTATAATCCTCATTAATTAGTGATGATAGGTTTTCAACCCACTGTCATATCTTTCCACAATTCTACACATTAAATGCGAAGGGCATATAACAAACTTAAAAATTTTCAGGTAGTAGAGTAGCCATTTGGGAGTCGTCTGGGCTTGGTAAACTGGGACAGTCACCCAGGAGCGCCGCAGCATGGGGGGATACCATGAATCGGATAATTAACAAAGAATCCAATATAAATGAGAGTTGAATATAAAACTATATATCGTCAGAACTTTTTTAGAATGAATAGATGCAAATAAAACCAGTCCTTAATAATAGATCAATAATGTCTAATAATAAGGTATTAGGGTCAATGATGACTAGAAAAAAAACTATACTAAAGATTAAATTAAGGCTGGAAATCGTGGTTATTTTTTGGTTAAAAATTACTTAACTCTCACCTTCCATCTCTAAATTTAAATTTTGACAAAACTATTATACTTCTTACGGTTAATTACAAAGTGAAATATGGCCAAATTTATAAGGACTCAGGAATTTTGGAAATAAAGTATTGCAATGAACATGGAAATTTTGCAAGGTCTGAAGTATTATAAGGTGCCAGGCATAGACGGAATCTAGGCTGAACTTTTCAAATATGGTGGAGAAGAAGTTTGGGATGAGCTCCATAAACTTATTCATGGATGTAAGAAGAGGTTCCAGATGAGTGGAAAGTGTTGGTACTATATCCAATCTATAAGAAGGGAAACAAGTTAGAGTGCAGGAATTATCAAGGCATAGCACTGCTTGGCATAGCTTGTAAAATACTATCCTCTGCCATTGGTAGGAGACTGATATCATACAGAGAAGGAAGTAGGCGAATATCAGTGTGGCTTCAGGAAGGGTAGATCGACTGTTGATCAGATCTTTACCGCAACACAGATGCTAGAGAAGTCACTGGAATACAATCTCGACCTGCATCACCTCTACATTGATTTTCAGCAGGCATACAGCTCAGTGGATATGCAGGTTTTGATGAGGGATCTTCTCTCTTTGGGTATGTCTAAATGCTCACTCGCTAACTAAAAATGACTATGGCAGATACCAGATGCTAAGTAAAACCACATGGATTGCTGTCTGAGGAGTTCTCTGTGATTTCTGAAATAATACGAGAAACCAAGGCTACTCCCCTTTTTAACATGATCTTGGAGAAAGCGGCAAGTGCCATAAGAACCAACTTGGGAGGTACCATCTTTGACCACTTCACATAACACATGGCGTACGCAGATGATGTAGAGGTTGTGGCAAGGATGCTCCCAGCGCTGGCAGGTTCATTGAAGGAATTTGAGACCGCTGCAGCAGCTCGAAGTCTACAAATAAAGGAGCAAAAGACGGTGTACATGAAGAGTTCAAGACAGCGCCTTCATCAAGATCGGACACTAAGCATAGGCCAACATGAGTTCCTTGTATGCAGAGAGTTCAAGTACCAGGGACCCCTTATGACGGCAGACAATGACGTAGGAGCTGAGATAGGAACCAGGATTGCTATATATAGCTATCTCATATAGCATAACTCTATAGCATACTCTATATAGCATACAGGAAGTTGCATTATTTTTGAATTTTTTTATCATCCTTCAACTGCGCTACAGTCACCACACTTTTAGAAATAGTTCCTCATTTGATAAGCTGTAAGTCCATATTAATTAAGTTGAGATTTATTAGGGAAAAAATTGAGAATCACCTCAAATTGTGTAAAGAAATGATGTGATTTTCTATCCAGTCACCTAAAAGTATACGATTTTTTAGATAAAAAATTACTACAATTAACTGTTGAAAAGCTTTTATTTCTCATTTTTCGGTGAGATGGGATGTATTTTAATAAATATAATTACCTAAAAAACACATTTTATTTATAAAAATACAAAATTAAAAAAAAATATTTTCAAATATTTTTCATGTAAGGTAGTTATGTTATGGTTTTTCATTCAGATTTCTGGAATTAGTGTGTATTTATAAGTGACGAACTTAATTTACCTTTCGCTAATGTTTTCTTTAAAATAATTAAAGCAATTAGTAAGTTTCTTTATTTCAAACGTAAATTTTCTTAGGAAACATTAAACAGTATACATGTACAAGTATATATCTTTATATATTTGAAATACATTAATATATTATATGATAAATAATTAATATAATATAACAAAATTATATATAAATATTATATATTGTTATATTTTTTCTATAATGTGGTGTTAAAAAAACAAGTTTGATAAAAAACATGAGGCGAAAATAATTGTTTCCAATAAAAATAAATATATAATATATTTTTTTTAGAAAAATAAATATAATTATTTATTTTTACAATTTTTTATTTTGACTGATCACCCC